CCCTTTAGCCCTCTTTCTGTCAGGGAAAAGAGATGCACAAGACTGCTTCTAAAATAGAGCAAGCATTTCCAGTTGTTATTTGATGCTCTCTTTTAAAGCCTTTGGAGTTAAAAGGTCACCCGGTTATATCTGTTAAAAATCTCACTGCTTTACAGTGTTGGGGTGTGTGTAGTGTATTGTATTCTACTAAACTGGTACATTTTGTCTTTGTCACCAAAAGTTGTTGCAAAATGGCCGCACTGGCAGTGACCATCTATTGACTGCAGTCTGACATCACAGGCTGAAAAGTGATATAGGTTTAGATACCAACTAGGACCAGACTATTGATTCTGCATACTCCAAACAAGCTCCCACAGCATTTTTGAGGGAGCTTAAGACTTTGACATCAGATAGTTAACACCATGCAAAACATGGCTACTTCAAGAAAAGGAAGGAAAAGAGATCACAAACACAGGCTCCGGGTCCCAGCAGTTAGGTTGGGTAGTGTTTGTGTTCAGGTTAACATAATGAACTGCAGATGTTTTAACTCTGAATCCTATTGATAAGGTCACTTTAAACTTCTTTTAGTCTGAAACATGTCAAATCTATTTTGAACTTCCTTGATTAAAAGATTTTCAGAGTCTTAATAATATATGCAGTGTCTCCATTGAAGTCCAGCTTTTCTTTATGGAACTATTTTTAACTCACACTAAAACTTGACCAAATACCCCCAGGGATGAGAAAAAAGCACCAATTCCTCTTCTTGCAGCACTGCAGGTATTCTGGGCACCAGTGTGCAGTGGAAAAAACTCTGCCTTCTGCTTTTTGTGCTCTGCCCCTTTGCAGTCTCCTACATCCATGCCTATGTGCCAGGCTTCAGTGGGGAAGCATCGTATTGATTGTGATGCAAGCAATTAAATGGTGTTAATGAAGTTCAAACAAGTGTTATCATAAGCTTGGCAGCATGGAGAGAAATGAAAGGTCAGCCTCAGCCCTTTGTCATCTTTTCAGTGTGGCGCTGAATGCTAATGAGACAGTCACAATTAGAACAGGCTCCACTTTGTAATGCTTGGGGATTGCATCAAATGCTCCCAAGTTCTCCAGATTTCTGGGCTCAAAGGGGACATTTGAAGTAAACTTGAAAAGATGCAGATCTAAAGCTGCTCTAATGTAAATTCAGCAAAGCCTATGGAGTTTTACTAACAGAAGTCAGATGAGAATCTGGTCTATCTTTCCCATTTTTTCCCCTTTTTCTCAATAGACAAAATTATGATATTTTAAAAGCTGCCACCTTGTTTTAAAGCCACAGAGTGACTTCTCATGGCTTCAACAAAAACTAAATAGTACATCCCCATTTCCTGAGTTAATTCTCTTGCTTCTCCCACACCTCATCTTCTGCTGCAGGAATCCCAAGTTGTGGCTGTGCCTAGGTGCTTTTCAGTCATGCGTTTTCAAAGGTCATTTGAATGCTGCACTTGCATTTTACTGGTCAGGATATATCAGTGGGTTTGCTACAGCAGACAGAATCCAGCTCTGCTTCCAATAGCATTGAAAAAGACCACTGAAATCAAACTCCTGGTTGACCAGTGTGTAAAGGCAGACCATTAGTCAGGCCAAAAACTGCATTATGTCCTTTTCCTTTTCACCCTCTAAAAAGTTGGGAAGATATTTTAACATGAATTGGAGACTGCTTATGTCTGCTGCTTTCTCTGCTATTTCTTGTCCTAAGACAATTGCCTGCTTTGAGTTTTGAGTCCTAAAGACACATTCCACACTGAAGAACCAGTAGTTGCAAAGAGATGGCTTGGAGTAGCCCAGCTCAGCTGCCATCTGAACAGCCACATTAAAAGAGAAGAGTTGGCTTTTACTCTAGTGTGCCTTCAAGAAGGGTTACAATTCACTGCTGCCTAATTGCCCTCTTACAGATTCTTCTTCATCAAATAACTTCATTTGATTTCAGGTTCTTCTGATTTACTCAACCACTTCTTACACTTCCTGATGGAAAATCTTTTTAAGTTATGATTCAGTCTTTGAAGAAGTCTAGTGGTCTTGAATGATGCTGCCTCCAGCTGGCACTGACTACAGAAATAACTCACACCAGTACTGAAAGCCATTGGAGTACAGTTGCAGCATGGAGAAAAGGAATTAATTAACTCAAAGACGAAATAAAATTATATTCTGTTCATTCTTAGTAAGTTTTTCTTTGATCTACAACAGCATCCAGGTGCCACTGCTTTGAGACTGTAGCACTGACACACAAAAGAATTAATAGGGCAGAAGCTCTAACCATATTCCAAAAGTCATGGTCTCCCCTTGGGTTTTAGTACAGTTTTTCAGACATCAGTGCAGATAATAACCCAATACATGCTGTGCCCAGAAATGCAGTGCTGTTTACCAGCAACAGGAGGTGTTATGTACCTTGTTTGTTGCTCAGGAAAACTCAGAGAAATTCAACAGGTATTACTGCAGATCACTGGGCAACAGGATTGAGCTCCAGAAAATCTTAATATCCTGTTCTTCACTCACGTGTCAGTTCTTCACTAAAGCATGCTGTCTCCAAGGGTATAAAGTCAAGCAGAGCTGTAAGTAAGAAACCAGCCTTCACTGGCAACTTCTTTTCACACATCCCTCAAGCAGATGGCTCAGAAGGTAGGGATGGGGGGAGCACTGCCCCTCCTGCTCTATGTGAAGATCATGCTTGCAACCACCTGAGGAACCTGAACATCCATAGGTCCATCAATCCCGATGAGATGCATCCTAATTAGAGTCCCGAGGGAACTGGCTCATCTAGTGACCAAACCACTCTTGACAATATTTGAAAAGTCACAGCGATCAGCTGAAGTACCTGGTGAGTGGGAAAAAAGGCTACTGTGCACCCATGTTTAAGATGGGTAGAAAGGATGACCCAGAGAACTATTGACCTGTCAGCCTAATCTCTGTGCCAAGGAAGACTGTGGAACATTTCCTCCTGGAAGCTATGCTAACACACATGAAAGAGAGGGAGGTGATACAAGACAAGCAGCATAGCTTCACCAAGCTATGGTCCTGCCTGACCAACTTAGTAGCTTTCTACAATGGTGTAACTACAACAATGGACAAGGGAAGAGCCACTGATGTAATCTATCTTGACTTCAGGAAGGCCTTTGACAGGGTTCCCCCACAATATCCTTCTCTCTAAATTGGAAAGATATGGATTTGATGGGTGAACTATTCAGTGGAGGGGATCTAGTTCTGAGATAGTACTCAGAGAGAGTGGTGAACAATGGCTCAATGTCTGGGTGAAGATCAGTGACATGTTGTGTCCCACAGGGGGTCAGTATTCTGGGACAGGCTTTGTTGTGATAGGACAATAGGAGATGGTTTCAAACTAAAAGAGGGTCAATTTAGACTGGGTAGGAGAAAAAAATATATATATGATAAGATTGGTGAAGCACTGGAACAGGTAGTGGATGCTCCGTCCCTAGAGACATTCAAACTCAGGGTTGACAGGGCTCTGAGCAACCTGATTGAGATGTAAGTGTCATTATTTATTGCAAAAGGATTGGACTAACTGACCTTTCAAGGTCCCTTCCAGCTCAAATGACTCTGTGGTTCTATGAACCACCCATCAACTACATACACTACACAGGTTACAGGAATATGACACTGCTGGGTCACTGCTAGTGCAAATCTACTGCTTCTAAATAAATCTCAAACACTTCTTTCCACCTATCCAGGTCAATCCAGCAATCAATCTGAATACATATCAAGAAACTTGGACACAGTACTAGAAGTAGGTCATAATTAAGCAAGGTAGTTTCTAAGAGCCTTACAGGTTGCCTAGAAATGACATTTGCAGAAGTGTTTAACCACATCTAAAAATAATTGTCCGGACAAATCAGAAACCAATGGGAGCATTATTGTAAGAAATTCACCTCATGCTGACTGGAGTACAGAGCTCTTTCATCAGCTGTGCTCTGCTTTCGCAAAATTAGAGAAAATCTTACCCACCAGAGGATAGACTGGTTTACAGCAAAGTATGCCTACTGCAGCAAAGGTCTCATATTACCTGCATGGTGACATCAGTTTTAGCCAATGCCTATGAAGTCAAGCAAGACAAATCACTGCTGAACATGGGATGCTGTTGTACAGGAATGATCTGTAAGATAAACCCATCGTTGTATTTACAGAACAGCGATCATTCTCCATCTGTGCAGTTCCCAAACCTGTCAATAATGCCAGGCAAGTGTGACATATTGGAAAACAAAGCACAGATCAGCTTCTGCAAGGCTTGTTCCAGCAGACAATGTCTTGCTGAAAGGAGTACAAGATGTGCTATTGTTCATCCTGCAGAGAATCTTAGAGGAACTGAAATCCCTATGTATTGTAGGAATAGTTGTCTTAGTTGTATTTCCTGTAGGGTAGCTTTGTCAGAGAGTGAACTTTAGCGCAGTAAATTGAACAGTAAAACTGCAGGTTCCCGCAGATATGTATAAAATGCTCAGAAAGACTTCTGACCTTTCAGAAAGTACCTGCAGAGCGTCAGTCACTAATCTGACAATTCCATGGCATCCAAATTACAGAAGAGCTGCCATGGGCAGCTACTGGACTCAGAGTACGGGATGATAATTGTGACCCCTGAGATCCAGGCAGTGTGGGGACTGTCACAATGATGCTGGGAGAAATGCTACTCCTTCTTCTGGTCTGTACGGAAAGAATAACAAGTCCACAAAGCTCACAGGACTCAGATGCAGTCACTTTCCCTACCTCCTTCCCTCCCTCTTCTCAACAGTTTCTCCTCAAGAGAAACAGTGATGGCAAACACCTTCAGTTCACACATCTAATTAAATTTCTATATGCGCTGTACAGCATGTGGGAATAAATGGCAAACAGAGCTTTCTACATGGTCATTAATCAAAGAAAAAAAGCCCAGAAGCAGCTACCAAACTCAATACTGAAGATACCTCTTACCTCCATCCATGATGCAAGGCTTCATTTTACAACTTACTTAGGTTATTCCCATTTCTAGAGCCAAAACTCACCTTTCTACCCAGTTCTTGTAGCTGGGGATGTCCTTGGCATACAGAAGCTTATTGGAGGGTGAGTCTTTGCCCAGACGATGCTCTGAGGTTGAACAGGAGTCCATGAATGTCTGAGCCACTACAGAGAGGCAGGCATCTGTGATGCTATTCTTGTGAATGTCGAAGACAAACTGTGGGTTCTTGATCATGTTAACCCAGAACCGTAATGGCAGGCTGTCAGGTGAGAAATGTGGAAAAGGCGAGTCAGTAATTGCAAGTTTCATAAGCTTTGTCTTGTGATGTTGCAAAGCTGACTGGTGGATAGGAATTAAAGATCAAGGCATGGAGACAGGGATTCTGGGATATCAACTCTGTCATTGACATACAATAGATCTACGCTGTAGGGGTAGATCTACCCCTGTAGGACTCCAGGGTGCACAAGAGTCACTTCAGGAATGAGTTTTGTCCCTGTTATCCTCACAGGCCAATTTGGTCACTCCTAAAGTCACAGTCATCTTACTGAGGTTGCACATAAATTAATGAGATTATATTAATGAAAGTATATTCGAGGTGATGGAAATATCTCCTCACTTCCCTATATTAGGGTGCAAATGTGAGGTTAGCTGCTGTTGGTTGCTTCATCACATGAGAATAAACATCTCATTCACACAACTTATGGTAAGCAACAGGCACTTTTGAGGCTAAAAGCCAATTACCACTTGGCTTTTAGCCTCATGGTAACACCATGGGAAAAAAGGTAGGTACAGATGCCAGGTTGACAGGCGCTGTGTGTCATGTACTGTTCAGTTACACAGCTCAAGTCCAAGCTTGTGTATGATCCCAACACCCTGGGCATAAAGCAGTTATTATGTGGCAGAGAAAACCCTGTTGCCACAAGGAGAAAAATAAGAACGGGGAACAAGTGTTGCAACCTTTGAAATGAAAATTTATCTGCCCTAACCGTAGAAATGCTATTCCAATTGCAATTCAAAGGCTTTCCCCTCGTTTTTCCCCCTCATACTTAAAAGAGCTGTTCATCTGTGTCAGATGTCCTGAGGTATCTACCTCCAGCTTTTGCCTCAAGCCTTTTGTGTCAGAGCAAATGCATTCATATGATCATGGCCTAAGAGCTGAGATGTGTCATTATTATCAAACTGTTGTCTCTCTGTCTTCATGCTAGGTAGACTCGTAAGGTAACTTCCAACATTTGCACTTTCCCAGATATGAATAACTCTTCAGTATAAAAAATTCATCTGATATTCAGGCTAAATTCCTCAGATTCTAAGTTCCTCCAATTTGTTCATTACCCTCACATGTTCATAGCACCATAAACAATTCATATCCGCATTTGATACCCTTCAGGTGACAGAGAGATGGTACCACATTTTCCTAAACAAATATGTAGTATCTTCAGCCAGCAAATGTGAGGAAAGCCTCACACAGCTACTCTCATCAGCCAAACCAACCTTGTTTAGGGAGAGGACAGAAGTTCAGGAGTGGGAGATGCTGGCAGTGAGACCTAATGGGTGTTGCGGGAAGGAAACCTTTTAGGCTGGGAATGGAGGTTCATCTCTTAAGGGAAGAGCTGAATGAGTGAACTGTGCCAAAATTCTGAGATTGTTTGTATACTAAGTACAGCCACAGTGAGGACAAGCACAGCCTGCACGTACGTATGGCTGTGGGGAGGGGATGGGAGGATGATGTCCCTCGCTGGGAATAATGAAGCCCATGATGTCACTTAGAGTTAATTTAATCTGATTGAACAGATTTCTTCATACTGCCCCTGTTCCCCCCTTCCAATACATACACATTCTGCCTTCCCCCCCCCCCCCTCCCCTTAAATAAACCTCCTGCTCATTTAGTCTGAGTGGCTGCAATCAGCCTTAGATTAGTGCTGCAGATAATGTTAATAATATGCTAATGTTTCATTAGTTGAAAGCCTCTTTGGTGCATGGGGTTTCTTTTTTTATGTCACAGCGCTGTGACGACCTGCCATCAGCATGGCTGGTAAAAGGAAAAAAATGCATGAGCTGGGAGCCCCATGGCTCTCCTCTGCTGTTCCTTTCATAATCTCTGTATTTGCACAGAGAAAGGGGAGGGAACAGTTCCCCAGGGACTCTTTCCAACAGGGACATTCAGCAGAGGGGTGCTGCAAAGATCCTTCCTCCACCAGTACTGACTTTACCCTGCTGTCCTATTACATGTACAGTGAGGGGTTTCTACCTGCTGAATAGAGCAGTGAGCTGATGTCAACCTTTGTCACTCATTGAAAAAGACTTACATCCAACTACAAACCCTCAAAGTACTGAATACCTTTTCATATGCTTTAAGGTATCTCCTCGTCTCCATCTAACACCCCAGGAGGGCGCAAGTCTCCTGTAGGCACTGCATATTCCCTTTGGTACACTTTAAAAGTCTCAAACAGTACTAGATGCCTCTGGAGGCAACAAAAAGTAACTCTAGGCCCCCAGTGACTGTAGTGGGAGTTCAAACACCCAGGGCAGAAGAAGACAGAAGCGCTCTTCCATGAATCCCCAGAGATCCCTATGGGCCTGAACACTACTGTAATGAAACACTTACAATTTTGCCTCCTATATTCTCATGAGGTCATTCAGAAATACAACTACCCCCATGTAACACAGAACAAACTGGGATCTATAGTCAAAGCACTCTACCCTTGAGAACATCCTTTAGATTTTGGATACACTTCCATCAGCTTGAGAAGACTGAATCTGGCATGCTGAACCCACGTTCCCCACCACCCATATCCTAAATCACACATCCCACTCTTCTCCTTCTAATCAAGGTCCTGGTAACAGACCTGTCTCACTCACCAATTGCTCTTCCAAGTATGCCGCACATGGGGGTCATGGATGTTGTGCTTGTCAGCTTGTTCATCCAGGAAGTCAAACATATATTTGATAGCCAGGGGAAGTGCACTGCCACGATGAGCTGTGCTGAAGATGGTCTCAAAGAGGTCATCTACAAATTTCTGGAGAGTTCCCTGTTGGGAGAAGGAGAGAAGAGTATGGGACACCAAGTAGGAAGAGGATGTTTAAATTTGGTATCCTACTGAAAATAGAGTGTGTCTATAAATCAGATTCAGGAAATATGCTTGAAAAGCAAGAACCATTTAAAAGCTGTTAAACACGACATGAGATGTCTGACATCTGCATCTTCATAATATCTGTTACTTACGGCTAACAACTGAATGGGATAGGGAAGATATACTTGTTCTCTCTGTTATTGACACACAGGGAAGGTGTATGAAATGTGGTGGAACACCATATCCCATCTCAAGATGGGATGGTGATGGGAAGGCACTCACCTGTTCCCTCCAAATTTTATCTTCTCTGCATCCTAAACTCAACAGCCTTGATGTATATGTGAGCCAAAACCTACCTATTTTCTATACTGGTTTTCGTACATGGCCCATTCTCAAACTGGGGATAGAAGCCAGGCAGAGAAGAAAATAAGGTTTTAATGATACAAATAGGACAACAGTGACTGGAGAAGATGGCTGTCCATTATGCATTAGTATAACAAAAACCAAGAACTTCATCTTAATTACTTGTATTTTACTACACACTGTCACGGGACCAAGTCAAGCCCTAGGAACAATGCATGGATATGTCAGTTACTGCTCAAGGGACAAAATGGTTACCTAAGGGTGATGGAACACTGGAACAAGTTGCCCAGAGACGTGGGCAAACTGTATGGAGACCTGTTTGTACCCCTTCTTGTGTGACCCACTGTAGGGCACCTGCTTTTGCAGGGGGGGTTAGATTTGATGGTCTCTTCCAAACCTGAAACTGTGATTCTGTGATAACATCCGCTACAGAGATTGCAATGGTGTCCTCATGTGCTTACAGAACCACTCTGGACCAGCTGATGAGAACAGCTGACCTCCAGTAATGACATGAAGGGCTAAAATAGCAGAGGCTGCCCAGGCCTGGAGAAAGAGGCAGTTGAAGAGCTGAGGTAGCCTGTGAAAATTGATTCTGCCATCAAAGCAGCAAGGTCATTTATATGTGGATAAACCATATGGTTGCCAAAATAACAAAAATTCCAAAATAATACAAAATTTCCTCAGCTGAAAAATAAAATCCTTCCCTTTCTCTGCAGACCCAGGAAAGAAATTCCTTTTTACTAGAAATGAAACACCAGGTTCCATCAGAGTGGCTCAAGTTTACATAGCATTAACAAGTACTTAATTAGAAAGCTGGTGTCTCTTGCTGATTCACCACTTGATTTATTATTTGGGAAACAAACAGAGGTGCCTTTTGCTTGTGTGAACTCCTACATGGTGAATAAAGCCCCGTAGCATCTCTGACTCAGAAAGGACCCCGAGGGGAAATCTCGTTGCTCTGACATCGAAGAGCTGCCCTCGGGTTCACTTTCCAGAGGGAATTAGTTCTCCACATGCTCACCCACACAAATGCAAAGAAAACCTCTGAAGCTTTTAGGCAAGAGACTGTAGGTCTCAGAGGTCAGGGATTTACTAGAATAAAAATCATTGTCAGTTTAACTAAGTGTTCCCTGGGATTGTATTACCAGCAACTGGTCTCTCTCCTCTTTCCCTGCCTCAAATGGTCACGATGATGATAGAAAATTGCTCAGCCCAAGAGGGGAAACCATAAACCACCAGCCTTTCTGTTACTGTGCAAGTTTTGCAGCTGTTCCCCAGCCATCTTTATAGAAAAAAGAAAAAAAAGCAAGTGTTGAATTTGTGATCCGGAATAAACCAAAAGCACTTCAGTGTCAGAGCAGGGGACATATCCCCAGATAGTGTACATCAGCACTGGTCCAGTGACCACTGGTTTAATCTGGGACTGAGGCCCTGGGGATCATCATTTTCTTGCTATATTATGTGATCCATGTAAGTACTTTGAATCCCACCACAACAGAGATGGCAGAGAGAAGAGACTGACACCACGGGCTGAGGAAAAAATGTGCAGGTAAAACTTACAGTAGGACTTACACATATAATGGAGACTTGCCAGATCAGCAAGCTCAGATGGTGTTTGCATGAATAAATATAATCATGTTTGTGCCTGTTGACACCCTGACAGGAAATGATAATAGTCAAAACTTTAGAGAAGGAAGAAAGATTGGGCTGTTTGATTGCTCCTCGGTTTAATCCTGCCCAGAATGGTGTGAGATAACACTGATTAGCCCACCTGAGCCACAGCTGCAGTTTCCACTTCTGGGCTGCATCAAGATAACTCATGTGTCAGAGAAATTTGGGCACAGAGATGCACTGCACTGTGAGAGGATTGCAGGACTGCAGAGGGATCTGTCTGATTAAATGCCTGCCTCCCCACCTGCCCTGATTCCTTCTGTGATGCAAAAGAAAAGCACTGTGCCCTCTCCACTAATGCAAGCTTCTCCAAGGAAAGCACCACCACCAAGAGATCCGGGGGTGGAACAGCAGATAGAAATACAGACAGTTTCTTCTGCCCATATTCTTATAAAGCCTTTTGAAGAGGAGTTAGGTGGAGAACTTGCCAACACTCAAATAATGCTGTTCTGGGAAAGCCAGACAGATCGCAACATACAGAACGACCTGGGTCTGCATAGAACAGCCCTAGGGGCAAGTCTTCAACTTGTCAAGTCCCTTTCCTGACTTTGCTTTCTTATTTAAGTTCCCTCCCTCTGCACTCTGAGCACTTCTAGTGCTCTATTTTCCTTCTGCTCTTTTATCCCCTCTTTGATACTCCTTGAGCAGTCTCTCATTTCTTGTTGGCAAGAAGTCACACTACAGCCTTCAAAAGCCCATTCCTCACCCTTTTCCCTTCTCCCTCCATATACCTTGGTGGCGAGTAGCCTTGTCAGGTAGATCTCAGAAACCATCTTGCTGCCCCGGTCACCTTCTTTTTGGTCACCATGTTCGTGATTCTTCACCAAGTGCCACATCTTGACTCCACTCTCAAGGTCAGGAGTGATCATGGGTGTGCGGGAGCGGAGGCTGTCTGGGCTGCCTGTGTAACGGATCATGTTTTCTGCAAAGAGAGATGCATGTGTGTCAGCCCTATTAGCACTTGCATTGAAATTAATGAGTTTCAACAAGGACATATGCTTTCTCATCAGAAAGGCAAGAAGAAGACCTCTTTCTGCTGGCTGGTTTTAGTACTGGTTCCTCTGACATCTGATATATGAACGGGATGCACATATTGTTGTAACCGTACTGCAGTGTCCCTCCTCTTGTGAGCTCTATATTTCCATATCAGTATTAAATAAATGTCCATTGACCAATTCATAACATTAAGCAGAAGAGTTCTATCTCCTGGTGGAATTGCAGTGTGAGCCAGAAAAGGTCCTAGAACTGGTGTATGGACCAGGCCTTGCTATCAAAGTATGACTGAGTGATTTGCTCAGCAAAAACAAGGGATATGAGCCAAGGAGGACATAGTGGTCATGTCTGTAAATTAAATGAAGCTCTTACACTGCCCTTCGGTTGCCATGCTCTTCATTTATTATGTTCTCTGTCAAACCTCTGGCCTTGGACAACTAGCACTGCTAGTGTAAGGCACTGCCAAGGAGGGATTCAGGGAACAGCAGCAAATACTCATGGTAGCAAACAGGGGCAAGTTCAGCTTATTTTACCTGTGTGGTTGATATCTGACCAAGCTTCTTGGCCTTATGGTCAGAGAACAGGTCATGGGCCTTCTTGCATGAAAATATTGATGCAACCAATATGACTTCTTGCCTGTCTCCCCAACACCAAATTCAGGAGGAGCCGCTTCCTCTTTCTCCTTTGGCAACAAAGCAATCCAATAACTTCTACCCAACTGTTCTCTTCAGTCTCTGCTTCTAAATCTTGTTTTGATAGAAAGTGAACCAGAACTCCAGAGGGCCCACGCATACTACCTCCACAAAGACACTTTTATCCTACAGACAGTACTTCCCTTTGTCCCTGAGTGATGCCATGAGGCATTCCCCTCCCCCTGCTAGCAATGCTACAGATTGAGTCTTTTCCAACCATGATTAACAGAAGAGTGTTGCACATTTCTACAGCAAGATCTGAATCAAGCTTATTAATGCACTACCAATCTCTACATATTAATTATTAGATGGAATATCCTTTTTCTCTCTGGATGCTGTTTACTTAATTGCAATTAACAATCACTTGTGACCCACTACATCTTCTCCTCCCCCCGTATCCCTCCTCACACCCTCCCCCTGAAAAATCAAATGGCAAAAGAATTAAAGAAATCCAAGAGAAATTAACCCCCCTTAAGTCTTCCTTTTCAAAGGTCACTGTGTCTTTCAGTAATTGCAACAACATGACAAACTGGATGAATATTAATAAGGTCTGCTGGATTGCTTATGTCCTTGGAGAAAGAGGAAGGGGGTTCCTCTGGACATTGAGTAGCTGTATTTTCCCTCAAGCCTAAAGGGAACTAGAAGGATCAAAGATGCCTTCATACATAGGGAAAAATAATAGTAAATTGATACGCTAACTGCATCATGGATGGAGCAACACTCTGGTTGCACATTAGAGACATTTGTCTTTGCCCTCCCATGCCATCATAGCATCTTGGGGTGACAGCTGTCTCGTTCTCAGTTGTCTCATGTGTAAAGTGGGAAGAACAGTGCAATGCTCTGAGATACACTGACAAATGACCTCAGCAAGCTGTTTTTAGTATTATTCCAGGTGTAAATTCCCTTGGGATAATAAAATAGCAGGATGAGACACATAATATTCACACTAAAATATAACAGTATGCAAGCAGTGCCCTCTGTCTTGGCTGTTTCTAGCCACAGAGGCCTCTAATCTGTGCCATAGATTCTTCACAACAGACCTTTCCTACCAAAGTGATTGAGCTCTTACACAGTGCAATGCTTCTCCCTTGCCTCTCCCTGTGAAAACTTTGAGTGAGATGCTTTCCATCTGACCACAGTGATCTGAAATGTACACTGTTAATTATTTAGGCTCCTCCATTATCTAATAGGAGAGAAGAAGTACTTCCCAAGAGCATTCCATTTGGCTCAACAGCTTGGACCAGATCCCAACATTTTAGATGAGTAAATCCTTTCCTCCTGCCATCCACCAAAGAATCATGTCAACTATTCATCTGCCTATCATTTTTGTTGCTACTGCTCAGTGTCTTGCGACCACAACGATGTCTGAGATCTCTCCTGCAGTGCTCTCTTGATCCATACCAGCACACAGGTCCTTACCATATTTACTGGCTGAGGTTCGGGAGACTGTGGAGTTGTTGACTGCATTGTAGGCAGTGACTTGCTTGGAGACTAAAGCTACCACAGATCCATCTGGCACCTAAAGAGAAAAATTGACTTTGTTAATAGGCTTCTGAGGAGCATGCCAAGGACAGCAGGAATTCAAATAGCAGAAATTGAGACATAAACTCATGCCACTGCAGGCAAGTCAGTAATTTTCTACCAAAGCTTCAAGTGCTCTCTTTAGAGGGTTTGTTAACAACAACAACAACAAAAAGAGTAATAAAATCTCCTGTTACACCACTAGAAGGTTGTACTCGAGTACCAGGACAACAGATGACGAGCAGACAGTCCTGGGATAAAGCCCAGTGAGGACAGTGTGGGTCTTTGCATTGATCTGACAGTAGGTTCTTCATGAGGAAGCAGCTGTCAGGATGAGAGGGTGAGTAGAATAAAATAACTTGTCTTCATACACAGCTGTAAAGCGATTAACTTGTAACCACAGTATTACTTCAAGAAAGGTTGGAGCTACTACAGGGTCATTTTTCACAGCAGAGAAATCACCTGAGACCTAAGCTAATGAATGACCAGGACTATGACACTGGAACAGACATTGGAAACTGCACTTCCTATGAGCAGAGGCAGACTGGAGAAATTAGGATAAGGTTGCAAGTTACGTAGCAGTTTTCGACCAAGAGCTATCAGTGTTAAGGATCTTTAGATATCCAAATCACAAACATAAGTTGCTTTTACACCATTTCATTTCCCAAATGAAGGAAGTGTATCCAAATCAGCCATTTTTGCCTGACCTGACTCAAATACAGGTATCAGCCCTACTGAGGTGCTGCTGAGATGTTCACAGAAGAATATTTAACGATGAAGGGAGAGATTAAAAATGGGGCTCCTATGTTAGGTCCAAACTTAAATTAAACCTACAGTTGTGTCAGGAGCAAGAAAAGCTCACATCTTATTTATTAACTTAGGAATTAGGATTTGGAGTGCTGTTTCATGGTAAAACTATTTAAAGTGAGTTTTCCTACAGGAGACAACATTATCAATGATGACATGGCTGGTATGGAGGTGACTGTCCAGTTCTCTAGAAATTTTCTGAGAGTGAAAAGTGAAAATTAACACCAGAGTTCATATTATTTCCTTGAAGACAACTGCAGGGTAGACTCCTGCAGCTATGCTAGTCACTTCAAGTAGAGAGAAATAAGTATTTACAGGAAAAAAAAAGCCATCGAGGATGGAAAGTCTCATAAGGATGGGAAAATTGATGTGAAGTTTTTTGTTCCTCCCACCTTGATTGCAAGTAGTATCTAGATACACAGCTTAGATGAAGATACATACATTTTCCACTCTGACTCATCCTGTCAGCCTCTCAGTGCACAGTCTCCCCTTTTCAGGCAACAAATGCCCTGCTGGCTAGAATTGACCACCATGAACTCTTTCTCTTTGCTGTTTCAGAGGATCTCAGCAGGGATGGAGAGGCTGTGTGAGGACATAGTGGGATAGTGTTCCAACAGAAAGCAGAGCTTTCTGAAAAGAGCCAGGCTTTGCATTTCTACAGCTAAGTGATTCATGTGGGTCCTTTATCAGAAATGTTAACAAGTCAGCAGCTCAGAGGAGCCATATCAGGAATATCTGTGATAAATAAGACATCATAAAAAGGAGATAGGTGAAAAAAAAATGCTAACAACTTCTAGCTCTTGTCTGTGTAATAATAATAATTAGCACTTGCATGGAGTTTTTGATCTTCAAAGCACTGCAGTGGCTAATTAAATAGCCCTTCAGCAATTGTGGAAGGCAATTACAGGCTTTTTGTAGTTTCAGCCCCACTCTATATATAAGGAAACTGAGGCAGCAGAAATATCAGTGAGTGCCCCAGGTTAAGCAATGCAGAGCTCAAATCCCCAGCAGCTGTGGACCTATTCTGCCCCTATTCATCCATAGACATGGGGGCTCACTGCCTGAAGCAAACAATAGAAAAAAGCACATAAGGGGGAAAAAATTATACTTGGTCTGTTGATGAAATGAAATAGAAGCCTTTCCTTCTTGCAAAAAAAAAAACAAAAAACAAAAAACATAAAATGTGTTCTGGAGTCAGCCAGCAATCCTTCAGTCAATCTGAAGTGAAAAGTTTCATTCCTTTTTCAAATGACTGCCTGCTGCCTCCTCAGGTCAGCCCTTAAATGAGAAAGATATCTTGTTATGAAACACATATTGCTGAGGTGTGATTAAAGAAATGACAGAATTGTCAGCATCGGATTAAACTTAATGAGTTGGTTTATTTTATCCACTTATTTATTTATTTATTTATTTATTTATTTATTTGCAGGAGTGGAAAGAACTGGGGGACCTTTTGACTAAAACTCCATTTTCATTAAATCTAACACTTATGTATGATGCATTTGGACATCTTTATCCCTCTCCTACAGGTCTCAAGGTTATGAAGAGACGATGAGAAATCTTGTCTTAAGACAAGGTCACAAAGGGATTAAATCAGAGGATCTTAGGGCAGTGTCATCTCCACTGCACTGCTCTCTCCACTCACGCTGCTTTCCTCCTCCTTTTTTTTCAGACAGTACATCTTCTTCTCTTCCATTTTTCTCTTTTCCGTCCTTCTGGACTCTGCTAGCATTACAAGGCCTTTGATGCATTGGAAAAAGGAAGAAAGAAAGGCTTGTTTTCTGTTTGTCAACATGAGAAATGTTAATCCATGTTGTTCTCTTAAGAAACACTTTTCTTCACATTCTGCTCACCCGAACTGCCTCTTTCGAGAGAGATGGAGTCTTATTTCTTCCCTTGTCTTCATCTCTAATGATGCTCCAAGAAGGAGTGGGATGGATGTGCTCAACAGGAGCTCTGTTCAGTTATTGCCCACTCAATAACTGTTTAACTCTGCATCTTGGAGAACAACACTTTACCCTTCTATTTAGCACCTTCTTGACTGATTTACCTTCTAAACCACCCTCTCCCAGAGTTACCTGATAGTGTGCCAGCGTGTTGAGTCTCTTCCAGTCATTCTCTATCTTGGTTGTGATGTCTTCATCCTGGAGGATCATCCTTGCTCCACTTGCCTGCCGCCACTCTGCAAGGAGAGTAAGAATACTGAATGCTGCTCTGCAGAGCCCTCAGAGCCTTGTAAATTCCTGTGCTCATAACCTGTGTGGTGACACGTGCACACCTGTAGCACCACATCAGTTGTGGTCATTATGCTCTGTCAGATGCCTCCAACCATGTACAATATGTGAATGCATAATGCCCAAAGCCAGTAACAGAGGGAAAGGGTGGACATGTGCCCAAGGAGGCTCTGGATGCATTCAAGGCCAGGCTGGATGTAGCTCTGGGCAGTCTGATGTGGTGGTTGGTGACCCTGCACATAGCAGGAGGGTTAAGAAGATCATTGTGGTCCTTTTTAACCCAGGCCATTCTGTGAAGCTATGATTCTAAGACAGATGAATCACGACACGTTCACATAAACGGTACATGAGCTACGAAAAAAGAGTCATGTGGCAAAGTTCACAGTCAAGTCCTAAGTTAACCAGACCAGTTTCTTTATACTCGATAAAATAATGTTGCTGTCATTAAGTTATTATTGCACAAGAAACAGTCAGCCCTTTGAAGAGTGCAAAAAATATAGAGCAGATGCCTACACACACACGAGAGATCCAAAGCTATTGCACAGCAACACACAGCGGTGAAAGTTTATACAGATAAATAAAGCAATGACCACAGAGATTTTGTTCCAACTGCAGAGCTGAATGGAGCAAATCCTGGTGCATCTATTTGTAGTGTTTAAATCCTAGTTTACTCCCTGGTGCTGTTCTTTCTTCATTGTGGCTGTTACTAAGATCCACTTGCCCTCTGCAGGTCATCTGTTAATTTGTGACATAAGAAAATGAACATCACTTGTTTCAGGGACAGAAATTAGTCAGTGTCCCATTTTCATTAAGGGGCAGAGACGCTGACATTATGGTACCTTCCAGTATCTACAGAGGACCTACAGGAAAGCCAGGAAGGGTCTCCTAATCAGGGAGTGCAGCAGCAGGACAAGGGGTAATAACTAATGACTTAGAAAAGAGTGAAGTTACATTAGATATTAGCAAGAAATTTTTATTATGAGGATGGTGAGGAACTGGAACAGGTTGCTCAGAGAAACTGAACGTCCTAACCCTTAAAGCCAATCTGGAAGAGGCTTTGAGCAACCTGATCTAGTGGAAAGTGTCCCTGATCATGGCAGAGGAGTTAGAACTAGATGATTTTTGAGGTCTTTTCCATCTCAAACCATTCTGTGATCCTATGATCCTGTGATTCTATGATTCTATTACATGTCTAACTGTCAAAACAGGGCTCCAATGGGCAGAGCAGTGTCTGGCTCGCTGCAGTACCAGACCCTTTACTGGGGCTTCAGCAGTATGTCTGCGAGCAGAGGGGTTCCAATTTCTGACCATACCACTTCTCTAGCTTCCACCTCAAAATGCTGAGTGTTTCCTTCTGCAGTACTAGAGCACCCCATCACTTCCCAGGGTGCTCCAATCTTCTGTAGAAGTCTTGAAGGATGCTTCACGTGGAAGATTGACACAGCTTGTCCCGAAGAGTGCTCACAAACCTGCCTGTAGGCAAGGAACATGTAGACAGGACCAAAAGAAGAGACATGTAACATCCCTTTGTGACACCAGTCATGGCTGTAGCTTAACCACAGAAAACCATCCAAAGCTTCCTTTCTGACTGTCATGCCTCAAACACAGTGACCCAGACAGGGAGCAAGAGCCCAAGCAAAAAGTCTATTCAATTGCTGGAGTTAATTAAAAAGAAATTTTGGATGTGGAGACATCACCTGCCACCCCTGCTTATTTCTCTTAACATAAAAATGCAAGGACCATTGCAAATTTCCTTTGGTTTCAGCAGTTTTCTTATCACATAATTAAAATGTATTGGGAAACCTGCCCTTGCCTTTATTATTCATTTAAATTAGTACAAAGAGGTCAGCTGCTCTGTTTATTGCTGGATGCTACTTTGGCTGGAGATACTGATAGAGTAAGCGAAGGTTACATTGGCTAAGCACTGATACTAAACTGCCCTTCATTCACTGCAGCTCCTCTGATCTTCACCTATATTATCCTTGTGATGTCCGAAGATGATACACTCTGTTCATTGCCCCCTGGACACGATTCCCAGAAGCTAACAGATCACAGACATTGCTTGGAAGAACACAAAATTTAAGTTGGAACTGGGCTGGGACACAGTGCTTTTATAAAGCATTCTGCAGGGTATACCAAAACCCTTAAATCCCCATGGTGTCTCTTTGACCCTGTTCCATCGTGTCTCAGCATGCTGCCTCCTTATTCACACATCTTTGGGAAAGGACATACACTCATACAGTGTTTTGGGAAGAATCCATGGGTTCTCTGAGTTCCACTCAGCTCTGATATGAAATGTAGGCATGCCTTTCTTCATTCTGCTTCTCCACACTTGAGGGCTGAACAGGGTCCTCAGAGCAGCAGAAGCTTTCCCTTTGCTATGGGGATATTTTGGCAACCATAGGACTGTGTCTTCTGTGTATATCTTGGGTCCCCCTACACTCCCACTCAGACACAGGCGATTACCAAATCTCCTTCCCCTCAGCCTTCATAAAAAAAAAATAAAAATGGGTCATGTGGAGAAGAGCAAGGACCACCCTGACTTTGCACAAGACCCATTCACGAGCAAGAGAAGGGGCTGTGAACTCTGCAAGGCAGGCTCAGAGCATCTTGCTTCAGCTTCACGACCCATTTGCCCAGACCAAATACAAAGCACTTTCTCATGAATCTGAGCAATAACAGGGAAAGAATCCCCAACTTTTTCTAACCTCAGAGCAGTGCTATGTGCTTCTCTTTACTATTTATGGGTGGTCACAGAACAATCTGCAAAGAAATGTGGTGTCTGGAAGCACCACTGTAGATGTCCCTCTTCTAGCTGTAGGTGTCCCAGCTTATTGCAGGGGAGTTGGAGTAGATGACCTTTAAGAGTCCCTTCCAGCTCAAACAATTCTATGATTCTATGATGCAGAGGAACAGGTTGGGAGGACACAAAAGAAGGAAAAGGTGACCCTGACATCCATATTCACAGCACTAAGTGAAAACTGTTAGCTTTGTCCTCGCTGCCAGCACCCCATCCCCTTTCTCATCAGATCTGCCCACTCCTCTGTGAGCCAGCACAAAGGAGAGACACACTCCAATCCAATTTGTTATACGTCCACCTTCCAGAGAGAGGGGGAGGGAGGTAAAAATCCCATTATCTTTATCAAGCCTTCCAATCAGGAGCAGTGGTAAATGCAAACTCAGGAGACAGCTGCTGTGAAGCCTTTATATTTCATTCAGCAGATAGTGTATCTTTTTATTGCACGCAGGAATTACTTCTTTTTTTTTTTTCTTTTTTTTTTTTCCTTAAGAAACAACCTTTCCGTTCAACTTGACTCAGAAAAAGGGAAATTCCAGGGGACAACAATAAAGAGGAGCTTGTTTGAGTGGTAGCAATGCCTTGCTAAGGAGTGAGTCTACTAGGAGGTGGGAGAGGGGGAGATGTCCTGCACCTCTGATCTTACAGATGCTGTACCTCCCTTGTGCCTTCACTCTGATCCTGATTACCATGAAGATGCCCAGAGAACAACAGAGAATAGAACAGCACAGAAAAGATTTTTCAGGGGCAACTGAAACACTCAGAGCTGTAAGACGTCTCATTTCACTCCAGATGTCTTCTTCTGAGCTAGTCATCATTGTCTATCCTATCCTCTATGAGCATTTGTAGGTCACAATGCACACAGTTCATTTTGGTTATCTGTATACACTCTGCTCTGCTTCACAACCTTTTCCTATAGACCTTAAGTCTGGTTTGAAAGGCTATGAAAAGATTTGTGACTGTGTACAACAATGGAAAGGGGAACATTTGCATCTAGCTTATTCATTCTTGATGCCTTTTTCATGATCACTTGTGCTCATGATGGATTTTTTGTAAGAGCCCAGGGTGGGCTGCTTTTAGTCTTCCAGTCCTAGGAGTTTTTCGTCATTTCCCAATAACTTCCAAGTAAGACAGTTTAGCATAAGAAATAGAAGAAGAAAACCTTTTGCCTCTTTGCCTCCAGTACAACCAGATGTGTGGGAAACAAAAACTGAGGAAGTGTCCAGTTAAGAGATGATTTCTAAGAATCGAAGAAACTCAGCTCTGCTTCTAACATGGAAAAAGATCACCATGGTTGGAAAGAAGCTTGTATCAGAACAGATAGAGGCATTAAGTATTTCAACCTCTACATGCAAGTTACAGAATCAGAGTGTTGTAGGGGTTGGAAGAGACCTCTGGAGATCACTGAATTCAAGCCCTCTGCCAAAGCAGCTTCCTTACAGCAGGTCACACAGGAAGGCATCCAGATGGGTTTTGAATTTCTCCAGAGAAAGAGACTCCACAGCCTCCTTGGGCAGTCTGTTCCAGTGCTCTGTCACCCTCAAAGTTTTTTCTTGTGTTTGTATGGAACTTCCGACACACCAGTTTGTGCCCATTACTCCTTGCCCTACTGCTGGGCAGCGATGATAAGAGTCTGGTCCTGTCCACATGGCTCTCACCCTTTACATATTTATCAAGAGTCACACGATTTCCTCTCAGTCTTCTCTTCTCCAGCCTGAACAGTCCCAGCTGTCTCAGCCCTTCTCATAGGAGAGATGCTCCAGGCCCCTCATAATCTTGTAGCACTCTGCTGGACTCCTTCTAGGACATCCCTGTCTTTTTTGAACTGGGGAGCCCAGAATTGGACACAATATTCCAAATGTGGCCTCAGCAGGGCAGAGTAGAGGAGGAGGATCACCTCCCTTGCTCTGCTGGCTCCACTCTTTCGAATGCAGCCCAGGTTGCCTTTGGCCTTCTTGGCCACAAGGGCACACTGATGACACATGGACAGTCTGCTGTCCACCAGGAGGTCCAGGTTCTTTAGAGAGCTCCTCTCCAGCAGCTCAGCCAACAAACCATACAGATGCATGCAGTTATTCCTCCCCAGGTGTAGGACTCTACACTTGCTCCGGCCAAACCTCACAAGGTTCCTCTGTGCCCAAATCTCCAGCCTGCCCAGTTCTCTGCCTTACTATAAATATGATCCAGTTGCACTCTGTTTAAATGGTTCCTAGATGTTCAGCCCATCACCTCAGTACTGCATGCTGGTGAAGCACTGACAGCTTGCTCTGATGAGGTCCACAGTGAGGCTGAGCCAATACCACTGAGCGTGCAAGGCATTCAACCCAACTGCCTCCGCCTCAGCAGTCCCTTTCCAAAGGCTCAGGGAAAAGTGAATGCCTCAGCATGGAGCCAAATTTCTGTTTGGTGATTCTCACACCTTAATGTTTTCCCAAAGATGGGGAATATTTTATTTATGGCAAGGGCTTTAAAAAAAACAATAATAACAAAAATAGCCACAGTAGAAAGAAGCCTTTGCTTTGAGAGCTGCAATTTGGGTTTTGGACTAAAATGTAACCTCAGGGTGTCCAAAATAAATGCTTTCAGCTGACAACCCCCTCCATGAGTTGTCTGGGTAACTGCAAAACATTATGACATTTGCGACACATACGAGTCACTCTGCCTGCAGCTACCCTGCATTTAACAACTCAAAATAACTCATTAGCTTGTTTGCTTTCTTCATGTGAGCAATCTGGCCTTAGTGTGGCCAGAAAGCCTAGAAAATTGCGTTTGCAATAGAAAACAGTGTTGCTCTTTAGAAAATGATCGATTTCAAGGCCAGATGATAATCATCTGCTCAGACCCACTGCTTAGCATGCACTGGAGGGGCTGACCCTCTGAGCTTTCAGCTTGGGGCAGGGTGATGCTGAGAGCTCTGTGCTGCTTCCTAATGCCTAACACTGCTTTCTGCTCTCTCATTGCTGCTCTTACTGTCACTGAAGGATGTCAGGTGCCAAGAAGCACGTTCACCCAAAAGCGGATGGGCTGAAGCTGTGGCTGGATGTGCATGCCCACTTACTCCTGTTTCACTCATGCCAGCTCTGCTCCTCCCACCTTATTAACTGCTGTGATAAGGGAACCTGAAACTATATTGCTGCTGGCAGGACTCTTTATCTAGATGAGAAGATGTTTTGGGTTGTTTTTTCTCTATCTGTATCTTCCTATATATTAATTATCATTAAGCATAAGAATATTATTATTATTGCCAACTACATCATCAATGCTATTGGCCAAACAGCTGCTCATTTAGCAGTTTCTTGTCAGTGTGGACAAGACTGTGTTCAGCCCTTCTGTTAGGGCTGCACATGCTTTCTGGCCCTCAGCATTACTCAGAATATCAAAATTATCTATAGCAGCAAAGCCCTGGGTGCAGAATTGCAGGCTTTAGTTAGATCCCCTCCACACACTGCTCTGTACCTCTCAGCTGTCAGAGCCGCAATAAAATCTGTGTACTCCAGTTTATCCCTCATGATTTCAATACACACGTACAAATCCCTGCCTCTGAGCATGGAAGCAACATTCATCCCCACAGCAGAACAAACTATTTGCCACCCACACCCAGCCTGAGACCCAAACCTAATGGGCTCTGTGATCACCCTCCAGCACCAGACAGATCAATGGGTTTGGCTGTCAATCCCAATAGTCCCATCTCCTCTGCCCTGGTTCCCTGCCTGGCCTGATCCTCACCCTTGCACTCACTGCTGACTCACAGCATCTCCAAAATCACCTTGGGTCCCTTCTTCATGATATATATGACCTGTTCTTTACTGCTGCTGGTGTTGGCAGATCATTTCATTATTCTAACTGCCTTACATGAGCAGGAATCTTGCTGCAGTTTCTGTCAGGAGTCCCCTCCTCCCCTACACAAACGCACACACATATACACACTTAACTTTAATCCCTGACCTCTTATTTCTGCCTCTGTTATTGCTGTGAATTGTTTCTTGGCATCCATCCATTCCCTCTCCTTTTGGTTCCTCCTCTCCTGCGCTGACTTTTATAGACTCCATCATTTTCCACTCAAGCCCCTTTCACTGAAGGTCACCAAGGGCAAATTCTGGCTGATCGTCACACACAATGCAGTCCCAGCCCTGAGCCAGACACCTCAGCAATGCCCCGAGCAGACTGTTCTGCAGCCTTTCATACAGTTCTCCAGGTGCTGTATTGGATCTGCTTCTGGATCCAGCTGCAGATATCTCACTGCCCTCATGCCCTTGCTCCAAGTTTTGAACAGAAGCTGATTTTGGCCCCAGAGGTATCCTTGTTTGAGGCTGTGTGCCCCAGAGCTGACTTAAAATGCAAGTGAAGCTGGTGTAGCCCTTTCCACCCTCCAAGCACAGTATCTCACAAGGGAACAAAAAAGCAAGAATTCATAAACAGAGGGATCTTTCCTTAAAATGTTAGTGCTGGAAATGTCAGAGCAGCACCTCCCAGCCCTGCTGCTGGTGGAGGGATGCTGGTAGGAGAAGGAAGCAGTCAGGGTGAGATGGATGCAGCCCATTGAACGGAGGATGCTTTATCCCCTTTCCTGTTCCCACATGATGAGAAATTAATTCTGCTTGGTCTGTGACACTCAGCAAGAAGACATGCATTATCCAAGCCTTCACCGCCCAGAGAAGAGCTTGGAATAAATCTGAGCAGCCTGAACACTGCTGACAACACCACCTTGTGCTTTTGGTACTTTCTTTTCCAGAAGGTTTGGCAGGATGTGCCTTGCATAGGCCAAACTGTGCAGAAAAGCAGGATGACTACTGGAGATTTTAAGTCCCCGAGGCTGGAGCAGTAGAGCTTTCACAAGCCAGGAGAGTTTGCATTACTTTACTCGGTCTCTTCTACCCTCTGTGCATTCCTGACACTTTGCCTTTCCTGAGCACCTGGAGAGGTGGCACTTGCCACAGCAAAGTGCTTGGGTTGAGCCCAACTGTGTCCCCTCTCCCACAAGCCATGGGTCTTTCAGAGCCCATTGTGCACTCACATACCCAGGTCCATATCAGCAGCTTTGGGCCGGTGGGAACAGGGCACGTTCTTGAAGATGGCATCCAGGATCTTCTCCTTGACTTGTGTGATGGTGTCACAGTTCAGGATCTTCACAGGGATCTCGGAGCTGTTCACGTTGTCAGGGTTCACACAGCTCAGGACCTGGGAAAGAGGCAGTGAGACCAACTACACAGTGCCACAACAGTGCCAGTACCCTGTGATCAACCCTTCACACCCACCTTCTCGCAGGTCTTTCAAAATAACACTCACCCAGATGCTACCAGACAACACAACCAGACTCTGGCTAGATCTGAACTGGTATCCAGACCTTTCCTTGGCCTCTGACCCATTCCCTGTTCCTTAGAGATCTGGCAAGGTGTCTAAGTATTGTAGCAGCCTCCTTACATTCCCATCTGACTTTGACAGTACAGGTAAAAGTAATCTTTCGTCTCTCCGCTTTAACTTTGTCCATCTTCTGCATAGGATGAACCAGGATCCTTCTCATGCTATTAATTTGAAATGCAGGGCTTCTTAAAAAGATATACAAAACAACAGCGACTAAAAAGCCTTGCTGCTTTCACATAAAGAATAAGAAAATTCATTCAACTCGAGAGGCCTCTGGTTACTCTGAAGGAGAATATAATTTTCCCTGAAGATCGTGTCCAAGAATAAATGCAAAGCATATGAAGTGGGGAGGGATGGATGCTTTAAACAAACACAGGATCTAACAGTAATTTGTCCACTGACTCTCAGCCATGTCTATGTCAAGTGCTCTGCTCTCGTTACAGAAGTGTGAAGTCCATAAACCTTTAGAAACTTAGCACACCTTTGCACTTGGAAGCAGTGTTCGCTGGAGTTTCTGGCTGTATAGAGTCATTAAATGCTGCTTTGCAACTTTTATATGTGCGGGCATGTTATTTTTGGTGACTTTGACAAATTTTACCTTGACCATAAATTCCTCTCTGTAGTATACAAGAGATACTGGACCCTATATCACATTCCATCTAATCTACCAAGATTCAGTGAGATCTAAACGTGGCATGAAACTGGGTGAAATTGTATCAGTATAATTATATATTGGCTCAACAGGCTCCCTTTGGTGCTCTTATACTTAACGAAGAGGGACTTGTGAAGATATTGCTTACAAAGAGCTCTGTGATCTTTCTGGATGAAAGGGTAGATATAAATATGAGATATTGATTACATCATAATGCTATTATTTATGTGCCACATTCAGGAGTATTGAAGAAGCATCAATTCAGATAATAATGACAACGGCACAGTTGTATAATTCTGAGGCATCTTTCATCTCAAATGATCACAGAGTTATACATAAAAAGCGGTGCTGAAATGCATCCAGTGTTGAGGTTATTAGTTGCCTCCTTCCTGCTACACATTTGTAGGGAAATGACATGGTAATACAGGCTAGATCAGCTCTTTTGGAAATCCTAGAGGGGTCCACATGCCCGTGGAGATGAAGTTACTCTGCAGGTCTCATTGGTGTGAGCTCACTTAAACTGGATAGAGCTGATATCAGTCACAGCAAGCTCTACAGAGAGATTCAGCACCAATGTAAACATCTTCAGTTGCCTTCAGGAATGCAACTCACGCACTGAGATCTGTGTCAGCACAGCAAAATGAGGGTGCTAGTCAAGAGGTCAACACAGAAAGATATGGGACTGGGAGCAAGGAAAATAGTCACCTCTGAGCCCTGCTCTCACACTGACTTTTTAATAGAATCATAGGGTTGGAAGGGATCTTAAAGATTATCTAGTTCCAACTCCCCTGCCATGGTCAGGGTTGACCTTGGGCTATAGTATCTCACTGGATTTGTGTTTATTGACCTTCTTTCTATACCTTGGGCTTTTTATCCGTCAGCCCTTCCAGCCATGAACTGTCTCTAAGTGTGTGTATATATATATATATATATATGTATATATATATATATATATATATAAATTCACATACACATATATGCAATGCTTAGCATAACTAAGCCCTCATCTCCACTGGGGATTACTGGCATTTAAATTACAAACACACAGCTTGTGGTTACCCATATAGGGACCCTCATCCTGAGCTCTCTGTATTGTTTGGGTACTTCACCCTGAGACCAGGACATCACTACAGTTTTGGTCTTCTAGATTAGTCTGAAGAAGGTCCAAGGGGTACAGTATGTCTTGGCAAGACAGCAAGGCGAAGGATGCCCAAAGAGACCAAGCACGGGGGAACCCTTTGGTATCTCATTTCTGGCTTCTCCCTGCCACCAAAACTCCTTGAAAGGCTTTAACCAAACATAGCTCAAAACATTTAACCGCCCTGGGCTACATTGTCAGGATGGATGATCTGATTAGGCTCTAAACTCTGCCAAGGTGTGCAAGGGCCATGCAGAGCATGCCATTGCTCAATACACGTTGGGCAGCTCCTGCCTGCCAGCTCCGAGAACTCATTATCCAATGCTCTTGACAGCTTCCGACACACATCGAGGCCTTTGCTCCTCTGCATTATTTGTGTCAAGAGAAATGAAGCTGATGTAAGAGATGGATGGTCCTTCATCTCCCAGTGAGAGCAGAGCTTTGGCAGCAGGGAGGGAGGTTTGTGCAGAGAGACTCTGGTGTGGTGAAAGGCTAAAAAAAGCCATCGATTCTGGCAAAGGCAGATGGCAGGCAGCAGGAATGAAATCTTCTTGTCTGCCATAGATGGAATAATCCAGCTAGGCTTTTAATAATGCTGCAGACCACAGATGATGATAACTGACTATTAGCAAAGACATTAACACCAGAGGGTGTTTCTCTGAGTTTATACATCTTGGGAGAAGACCTACTGGGTAGCTGATGCACATTTATGCTAGCAAATATCATCTGTAGTTACCTTAGTGTCACCTGGGCTGTCCCAATTCATTGCAGGTGAGTTAGACTAGATGATCTTTAAAGGTCCCTTCCAATTAAAATAACTCTATGATATCTGGAGTATTGCGTCCAGGTCTGGAGCCCTCAGTACAAGAAAGACAGGGAGCTGTGGGAGAGGGTCCAGAGGAGAGCCATGAAGACGATCAGGGGACTGGAGCACCTCCCCTACAAAGACAGGCTGAGGGAGCTGGGCTTGTTCAGCCCGGAGGAAAGAAGGCTGCAGGGTGACCTCATTGCAGCCTTTCAGTACCTAAAGGGAGCCTACAAACAGGAGGGGAGTCAACCCCTTTGAAAGGGTAGGTAACTGCAGGACAAGGGGAAATGGTTTGAAGTTGAGGGAGGGAAGATTTAGGTTGGATGTCAGGAGGAAATTCTTTACAGAGAGAGTGGAGAGGTGCTGGAACAGGCTGCCCAGAGAGGTTGTGGATGCCTCATCCATCCCTGGAGGTGTTCAAGGCCAGACTGGATGGGGCCCTCGGCAGCCTGGTCTGGTATTAAACGTGGGGGTTGGTGGCCCTGCATGTAGCAAGGGGGCTGGAGATTCCTGATCCTTGAGGTCCCTTCCAACCCTGGCCATTCTGTGATTCTGTGATTCTATGGGCTGAAAAATCTCCTGCATGTACACAAATTGTTCTAGAGTGCAAAGACCTCAGCTCACCATGGGCTGCTTCCTTGGAGAACTATAGGATTTTGCACAGAGAAAACTGTAGCTATCTGGCCTGGAAATAAATCAGACCCAAACCATAAAAATTTAGTGAATGAGGTACACATTGTAAAATTAGTGACTCCAGATGTTTGAAACTGTTCTGTCTCCTTTTGTCTCCTCTGATAAGTCAGTTTCTTGGGATCTGCTTTTCGTTCAAACCATATTTGAAACCAAGACTTAAAATAATGGTCACGATTAATAAGGATTAAAAAATTAAAGAAAGCTAAAGAATAATGCTTCCAAAAGAAGCCTTGTCTTTGTGGAATAATGGCAATAAACAGATTGTTTCTAGGTGTGACTCAACTCCATCCAGCAGTCATGAAACAGAACCCAATGAATTTCAGCCACAAACACTACAGACTCACGGCAGTGACCAGATGCTTTACAGAGAGAACAGGAGATATTCAGTGAATTCCTATATTACAAATACTGAATCTCCTATACTAAAAAGCACTGAATCAATTCTTGCTTAATTTCATTACTGTATTTTTTTTGACAAAAGATAACAGAATAATGTCTGCTCAAAATAGGTAGAGGAAGAACAAAATATAACAGAAGTAAGAAGAAACAAAGGAAGAACAATCTTATTTATATTCTATTTCTTCTCAATCTTCTTCACCGAAGCTGATCTCTGTAAATCTGCTAAGATTCCTATCGGGTTATATTTGTCTGCTCTTGAAATGTAAGAGGGAGAGCTGATTAACATCAAACAACACAAAGCAAATGGAAGAGAGCTTTGTTCAGGCTGATGTATAATTACTACCCTTTGCTGGCTGAGTTATATCAAGCCTAAACAGATCGGATGGATTTCCTTTGGTGAAAGTGATCATTCTGTGCCTGATTTTTTTTTCTTTTACTCATTCTCTCCAGGATCAGGTCTCCAAATTACTAGACAACTACACATAATGGAAAAGAGGCATTGCTCTGGTGATTTAATAGGGAAATTTTAGAATGCAAAAGTAAACTGTAGTCTTATTTAAAAGTAAAGTTTACCCATTCATTAACTCATTAGACTTGAATTGAACTGAAGTTAGGCAGTCAGGGAAGAACAGACTTCTGTAGAGTCAGCCCACCTATGCTAAGATCTAATGCAGGCAAAGGAGCTATCACTGACTGGATACAGCTCTCTAAGCAAGTTAAATAAAAGCAAAATGAACATCCCACAGTTGAAGGTGTGCATAAAATCAGCTGCTAAGTTCAAAACATCTTCTGATCATAGAATCATAGAATGACTTGGGTTCAAAAAGACAGGAAAGATCATCTAATTCAACCCTCTGCTGCAGGAAGGGTTGATCATCTTAAAACCTGGCGTGTTCTGAGAACAAACTTCTGGGAAACAAAGGAATTACAAGGAGAGTTGAGCACTCAGAAAGTTTCCTTCATCCTGCAGAGGCTTAGAGGAATTAGTGTATCCAGGAAAAAAGTGAAGACCTACAAATATTTACATTAAGAAGAGGTGCTTATTGTTCTTCATCCTTAATTGATGCTCTTTAATCATACAGAAAAAGGATGTGATTTCATATAGAAGCCAAGGCTATCTATCTAGCTTAGGAATAAACAGTCTATCTTTCACCATGCAATCATGAAGCAAATGACTCAGTGACAGGAAATAATTCTATTTCCCTTTAAATCAAGTTCATTTGTCTTTTTGTTGAGCTTGCTTAAAAGGAATGTTGAACTGGCTCTGAAGAAGACCTGATAGGTCCCTGCTCTGTGCTACTATAACATCTTCCTCAATGCCAAAATCACAGAATCACAGAATTGCAGGGATTGGAAGGGACCTCAAGAGAAGATGGAGTCCAACCTCCATGTTAAAGCAGGTACCTACAATAGGTCACACAAGTAGGTGTCCAGATGGGTGCTGAATATCTCCATAGGATTTCACACAACAGACAATGCCCGTGGGGAAATCAAGATGGTCTGGACATGAGATACAACACAGTGGAATTAAATTGGAAGTAGTTGTCATTGCAAACATGCTTTGCAAGAAAACTCTTCAGCAACAAAACTTCATTGTGTTAGGGAATGCAACTGTTATGCCGCTGGGTTGCAAGAAAAGAAAGACCCAGAAAGTCAATGTGTTCTTCACTAGCTTCTTTCTTCTAAATGCCCTTTTGCTAGAAAAAGGTGAACAAGCTCACAGTAGAGAATGCTCAGAGTACTCACCAGTGTTTTGTAATCAATTTGCTGTCGGATAAGCTTGTCCTCACTCAGTGAGTACCGGGCCTCCCCAGTGATTGAGTCAATGGGACCCTTTTCCATCTGCTGCTTGATGGCACAGAAGAGCGAGAACAGAGGTTCACCAGCACACTCCTGCAAGGGTGAGAGATGACAATCAGGTGAGCAAGAAAAAGCATAGATGAAAATCTGGATGCCAAGCCCACATGATATCTCAGTGATTGCTGCTGCCTGCCGTCCCCAGCCACTCAAGGCAGATGCTTCACAGGGAGTCACCCTCACTGGGTGAATCACCGTGTGATTCCACATCAAAAAATATAAAGGCTGTTTGAATGACTGCTGCTGGGCCACGCCTTTGCAACAGAGCAGGTGTAGGATGGGTCCTGAAAGACTTGGAGACAGGACTGGCAGGAGATAGCACCACTGGTGCCTCATCCCAGGTGTCTGGGCAGTGGCTGCAGTCTCCCTGAGCACTCCTGTACTGAAGGCAAGCAATGCTGCTTGGGCAGGAGCAGCTTAATGACTGAGGGGAGGGCTGCCCCAGAACAATGGTGCCCCCTGTTCTGTGCAATTGCATCAGTGATGTCAGGTGCAACAAGCACCCCACAGGCAGCCAAGGAACCTCTTCACCAATGTCTTCTTCCCTTCATTCACTCTCTCTTCACCCTTCTTCCTACACCTATCCTCTCTTGCTGTGCCCTCCCTCTGCACATTTCTTGCCATGCATCCCTCCTTGTGCTTTCTTCTGTCCTTCCCTTCTCTCTCATGCCTTTGTTCTTTCTTCCCTCATTCCCACATTGCCCTCCTCTCCAGCGGTGCATCCCAACTCAGTGAGCGAGGTCATTTTCCTCTGGTAAATCCAGGCAAGAACAAGTTAATAATATGAAGTAAAGTGGCCCCTTTCTTAGTTCCTACACCTGTCTCCCACTTAATTAGCTTATCTGCCAGGAGCATATTGCTTCTGTGTGCCTGTCTCATGCACTTATCAGGCCACTGTTCAGGCTAAGGCAGGAAGACAAGTAGCTGAGTGGGTGGAAAGACTTATAAAAGCAGTGCTTTAGAGAGTCACCTCCTTGTACCCTTTCCTTTCAGCTGCAAGAGGGAATCTGATACTAGTCACTGAAATTACCTTGCAGGGACCTTCAAAACTCTCCCATGCATTCAGCCTTTGACAGGTTGTGCCTGGGGGTTGGAAAGGCTCAGAGGAATGGGATTGGTTTGTAAAGCTTTGAATTTCCAAGCAGAGGTTAGTTATCTTGTCCAAATGACATAATATGAGATGTAAGGAGATCTGGCATCTGCACTGAGAGTCAAGGGAAGGTGAAAAGGCATCTCTATCCAAAAGGCTGGCTGTAAGTATGGGACCACAGCAATTAGCACGCCTAAAAGCTCAGTGTGGGTCCTCATGAGGACATGTCACCACCCAGCCATTAATGATGAGACTCAAAGGCTGAAGGCCTTTTTTTTTTTTAAAAAAAAATTATTATTACATAACTCCTGATGGAGACCTTCCAGCAGGAGTAAGAGGGCTCAGAGTGCATCTCAAGTAATTTCACTCATTCGTTGATCACTGTCATTCAAAGCCATTGCTACCCCAACTACACCTTGCCAAGAAGCAATGCATTAAAGCAGCTGCTGACCCAGGAGCGTTACTTATCTTACCTTGAGAAACTTGTACAGAAGAAAGGTGAACCAATTGGTGAGCATTTTCTCAGCTACAGACTCTGTCCTAAAATCAGACCGGAACAAAAAAAAAAAATTGGAAATAGTTAGTCATGTTAGTCTAAGGTCTGGTTAAGAGATTGTTTTGTACATCTTACTGTCCAGATCACCAAGCCCCATGGAAAATCAGGCACAATACCATCAGGATTAAGCACATCCTAGTGTCTCTGCTTTAACTTTGGATTTAGGAAACCTTCTAGAAAACCCTTACTGACCTTGTGATTCTCCAGTGACTAGGAAAGTCCCTATATGCTTTTCTGCATTTTCTCCATCAACGAAAGAGAAGAATCTCAGAGATGCTCAGGGAGGATAAATCCATCAAATATGAGGAGCTCCCAGTTAGGCTGTACAGATGAGTAGGTCATATAAGTACTTAAGGCAGATCTAAATCTCTAGAAAATACTTATCTGGTAGTGATTATCTCCCTGGCATTTGAGAGTAATTATAATCTTCAGTGTGTCAATGTGGTGCATTCACAGAGCAATTCCTGTAGCCCTTGAACTCTATTTTCAACCAAACAAAAATCAATCTTGTGACTTCAGAGTGAACTTTTCCTACAGATTAACTAATTTGTACTGGTTAACTGAGTTTGGACACCAGGAGCACAGGATAAGCTTGTGTTGCTTCCGATGCACAAACTTTTTGCACGATGATTTTGCTCAAGAAGAAAGCATGAGTCCCTGCTAGAATAAGTAAACGTGGGTCTTGCTAGACCTGGCCATCACCAAGGCAATTCAAAAGTTTCTTGCTTAGGGCTATAGGTTGCTTTTTAGGTTCCTTCATCTTTCAGCATAAAGTTAATCTCATTTCTTCTGTCTACAGTGATCACTGCTGTGTCTCTCTCTAGAGACTGCATCTGTCAAACCCAACCTGCTTGCCCTGTACTCCCCTCAGTCGGTGTCATCTAACAACTGTTCTCCATTGGTTATGGCATCAACCTCAAGTCAAGCACTCTGAGCTCCCCACAGGGGATGTGACGCTGACATCACTGGGACCCATCACATACTGCAAACTTAGCATTAATGACAAAAGGTCTGAAATCCTGTCACGTTGTTTCCTGGGCAACTTTGATTTCTTTGGGTCAGTGTATGTCTTTTGGGGTGTACACTGGACACAGGCAAGCTGGAAAATCATTCCAACCAACTCTTTCCTCCTGCCTTACAGCCCACAAGCCAATCCTGCAGGAGCGTCTTGAAAGATTTCTTTCCATCCTCACAGTCAAAGGGAGGAAATGGAAAGAGGAACATAAGTTTAATTCAGCTGCTCCAAATAACTGTCAGCAAATCTTGCACCAATATCTGAATACCAAGGAATGGAGCCAATCATATGTTCACATGTGGCCTTCCAAAGGCCAAAGTACATTCTCAACAAATAGGATTAGAGTTAGAAAAGAATTGGAAGAAGGTGAAAAGGGAAAAATGGGGGACTTGGGAGAAGACAGGAATGAACAATCAGAGAAGGCAAAGAGATGGAGAGAGAGGAAAAGAAAGGAGAAGAAAAATGAAGGAACAACTGGAAGAAGGCAGTGACAACAAGCATCGGAGGAGAAGCATAGAGAGGAAGATCGAGAACAGCTGGAGGGAGGTTGCCAGCCAGGCTGTAGGACTCAGGGAGCCAAATAATGCTGAAGTGAAGACCATTTTCTGCCCCTGGTGTTGCTACTCTGAATGCCAGGAAATGCCTACTGCTCCTCCTTTTGTTGGTACTTCATGATGGGCTGTGTGTCAGAAGAAAACTCTCCCAGCAGGCACTACAGACCTTTCCCCTGCCTGAGCCATCCATTATAATCAGCTCAGAGCACCTCAAACACAACTCTGAGCAGTGGCAAAGGCCCTTTTTTTACTTAAAGTCCTGACTTTAAGCAAAATGGCTGGTTCAGACCACAGAAAGAAGATTAATAGGATCCTAAAAGGAGAAAATGCAGCCTTTCCCTAAGCAAGGAGACTACATTAACCACAAAGCAGCACATTCAAGATTTTCCACACAACCCTGGTGATTAGACTGTGAAGCACAAACCCAAATGAAACCATTTCTGTTGTCCTGCTCAGCTCTGCCTTCTGGATTCAACTGGCTCCAAAAGCCAACGATCAGGAAAAGACAGGAGATCACACAATGCAGCTGAAGAAGACCACATATGCATGTAACTCAGAAACATGAAGCACAGCAGATTTGTCCACCTCTCAGGCATGATAAGGCAACTTCCAATTTATTCCCCATGCAGTCCAAGTATATTACACAGCCTGTTCTATGTCATATACTTGTTGGTCTAGCACAAGTCCAAAATAAGGCTTATGAAATGTGACCTCTTGCTGCTCTTATGAAGTTTTCTGAAGATTCACATTAAAATCCACAGATAATGCAATAGTAGTAAAAGTTTCAATCCCTGACTGAAGGCAGAGAGCAGCAAAGCAGTAAAGGAAAGCAAAACCTTCACTCATCCCTACCTGCCTTATTAATCTTTCCCTGCAAACAGCTTCATGCCAGCTCTACAGGGTCAGGTGAGCTGTGACTATATACAATTTCATACTCTGCTGCATGAACCAAAATCAAGCAAATTCATCATTTTCATCCAAAATGGAACTGCATGCTTGTGTTAGATAGTGGGTTGCAGGTTGCACAGCCCTGGATATCTTTACCTTCGGAGCAGCAGTTTGGGGTGGTTCTTGCTCTCCAGATTTTTGTCTATGAGGTCAGCCAACAGCTGCTTGAGGACATCAGTAGCATACTCCAGCTTGCTCTGTAACACTGTCATGATCAGTGAGGCCACGTTGCCACGATCGCGCATGGAGAAGCTGCGTTGGGACTCCAGTGTGCGGATGAAGGATAGCAGGAAAACCTTGTTGTTGATGAGCTGTGCAAAGAGCTTGAGGCCTTTCTCTACCCGTTCTTGCCTATAGCCAGGGACCTGCATAAGAAAAAAAAAAGTTTATACCTTTCTTTCACTGCCCACTTGCAGGAAATTCCCAAACAAGTCATACACCCTTTGCTAATTCTCTGCTCTCGGCCCTCCATTTCTTCCAGCTATATAATTCAACAAGTAGAAATCAGATCTGAGATACAGAGAAGGAAAAGCTGCCTCCAACTGCAAAGAAAATTAAAAAGAAAGTTTTCATTTTGGAGTATAGTTCTTTAAGAAGGAAGAGAGTCATTTGATAGGAAGACAGACATACATTCCAACCACAGCCAGGTGGTTATTTTCAAGCTCTGCTACGCTCTCTCTAAACAGTACATCCAGAGGAAATTGCTGATGCCTGGATGTGGTATCATAGCATACTGTATTCTTACTGCTGTCAGACTGAAGTCTCACTCTATCCACCTTTAACATCTCTTTTTAATCCCTGCAAGAAACCTGCCTAAAGAGAAAAACAGTCTGAGTCAATGTTGGAAAGCCTGGGGTTACATGGGTCTCCTTTTGGTCTGGACCTATGTAGGTTGCCTTATCTCCTCATCTCAGCAAACAACCAGATATCAGCTGCATTTCAGGAGCTGCCTAACCACAGGGAATGTGCAGTGTGGGGAGCACAAGGCATGGGTCTGGGGCTCTGCTTAGTGAGCTGGCGGAGAAAGAAGTAAAGTAATGGGAAAAAGAGGTCCAGGTGTCATGTTTTGAGACGTTGTTGTTTTGAGACATGTTTGGAGATGAAGAGATGCAGCGAGACAGAAGCTGAGGTGGTGAGCATGGAGCTGGGTCTTGGTCTGAAGAACTAGATCACAGAATGAATAAGGTTGGAGAAAAACACTGAAAGACTATGTAGTCCAACATTAACCCATCACCACCATGCCCACTGAACCATAGACAAAAGAAAGTGTGAGAGGGCGCAGAGCTGGAACCTATTTTCAATGTCCTAAGGCAGTAGGACCCTGGGGCTTGGGAGGTGGGATCATTTAGAGACAGGGTAATTGGTAAGATGATACTTCTCATTTGTGAAATGCTGGTGAACTAGGTTTGGTGTAGAACAATTTAGGACCTCAACACTGAACCCTGGATGCCACAGTCTACAGTGGGCATTATCCTTTCCTGCCTCTCTGTCTCTGGATCAAAATAAAGCCACGCTCCATGGGTATACTTCATCCTTTTATATGCTACACCAATGCATCTTAAATGAGAACCTCAAACTCATTCCTTCATGTTTCTTTCATCTCTTCAAAAAACATTCCTGGAAGCTGCAGACTCACAACTCAGAGCAACATGTGCCACTGCTGTAAGACTGTATTAACTGCCTCATTTTGGCACTTTAATCCAAGTTAGCATGCTTAAATGACCAAGTAATGCAAGTCCCCATAAAGAATCATTGCTTTTTTATTCTGGAAATTAGAGATCTCAACTGTTTTTGCAAACTGAAAATAAATTACTTACTAAATAGCTTGAGACAATCAACCAACCACTACCACTCATCCTGCTAATAATTATTTTAACTCACTTGCTTGAACATTTAATATTGTCTATCCCCAGGTTACTATGTAGAATTAAAAAAAAAATAACAAGAGAAGTATTTTGTAACGCATCTGGAAGCAGCTAATTAGCAAATGAGCTGGAAATAAGTAAGGCCTCCTGCCTACAGGATCTCTGGGGCCTTTTCCCAATAAGTACTGGCTCCATCTAGGTGCTACAGAGTAAGGAGCAGGATGGAAACTCCTTTCTGGTTTGCTGGTATCCAAAGACTTTGACACTGTAAGAACTGTAGAAACAACTGAGTGGATCAAGGGGGCAGAAACCCAAAGATGAAAAAAATAAGATAGGAAGGGGAGATCCTAGAATCATAGAACTGTTGGAGTTGGAATGGACCCTTAAAGGTCCAACTCCCTGCAATGAACAGAAACACCTGCAGCTAGATCAGGTTAAGTCCTGTTCAGACTGACCTGGAATCAAAAGTGGCAGATTAAAACACTAACTCTGTGTTTCTCGACACGTATCTTCATATGAGAACATCCATGCTAAAAGCTCTGTAAGGTTCAGATACTCCTTGGTGGTCAGCTGGCTGAACTTAATGAATACACACTTTGAAACCAGCTGTGGGTATGCTAAAAGTGCTTGCATGTGTGTATGAACATGGAGGAGAAATTCTTCACTCCTCATCTTGTGTGCTCATTTGTTGAAGCTGCTGTATCCCAAAAGCAAATCTCTACAGTAACCAATGTGTTCTGCAGCTTCCTAGCCATTACCAAAAGTCCTCAATGCTTCCAGATCATTTTTTTAATGGTTCTCACCTTACAGTTTGATGAAGTTTGGCTCTCTTGAAGTACAGGAGCAAAAAGTAGCAGGAACCTCTGATTACACAGTCAGCCAAGCATGGAATTGCCTGTGCCAAATCCTATTCCTCCTCTCTGCCAGCTAACTCAAGTCTTTGCCTCCAGGAAACTCTCTATGCCAGAGCCTCTCTGAGGCACAGAGTTTGCCAGAGACTTTGCAGAGTTCAGCCAAGGACCTTGCTGGCCTTGGACATGGTGTATGACCTGCTTCTCTGGCTCAAGTATCGCTAGAGCAGGTCCTGTCTATCTGCCAAGTCCTGAACCAGAATGGACAACGTCATCTAGGTCTGTAAAACTTATGCTGCCAAGGAGGTAGTGCAGGCAGCATGCAGACACTAGCAGAGCTGGGCAACGTCTCACCATCCTCACACTGCTGCAGGATTGAGAGCTGGGATGCAGGGCACAGACGGGCAGGTCATGGGCAGACGGATGCTGTACATCTCTGACCCCACTGCAAACCACAGAGCACAGCAAAGGTGATTCTTCTTCAGAGAATACAGATTGTAGGTACTGCCAGGAAAAAAAAGGATGCTGGATGGCATCAGCAATTGACAAAGCTGGTGTTATACACACAGGTATACTGTTCTACTCTAAAACTTTTTTTCCTGGCCCTTGCATGGTCTAAAAAACAAATTCAAAAAGGATGAAGACCAAGAGGGAGCTTAAAACAGCAAACTAATAATTCACTCAGATGTATGGTGCTCTTCTGAATAGATGACTGATCAAACAGAATTTAACATCTAATACAGTAAAAATCATCCTTTTCCAATCTAGACTGTAAATGAGGTACTGTTTTGTCCCTGGTAAGACACAGTATTGCAAGCCATCATGTCCCCTCCACTATCACAACACATCTTGCAGTTGGGAATGCTGATACCTCCAGATCTCTCAGGACTGGGTGATCTTCAATGCCAGGGAAAAGCACCCTCATGGTGTAGGTTCGGTAATCGAGGAAAGGGATCCCTGCTCCATCCAGGTCACTTGTCAGCTCATGAATATCCGTCTGCAGCTCTGCAAAAGCTGACGCAAAAACAAACAAAACATACATCAGTAACAGTTCAGATCTCTCTCATCATAACAGAAAAGACATTCAGCCTCACATGAATGAGACATAAATGAAGAGGCAACGAATGGAGAGGAAGAGGAAGGTAGACAAGAGCAGTCTCACATTCCCATCCACACAATGTGCCAGGGCTCTCTCTGGTCACTGAGCTAGCAAATGCGCTTAACACAAGGTGGAGGAAGACTGGACTCAGAGAAAATGGGCAAAGTCAGTTTAGACCTGGACTTGAACCAGGAGTTCAACACCCCTGCTGCTTGGTGATATTTTGGCTCAAAGCTTTGCAGCTGGATTCCTTTCTCCTCACACAATCACAGCCTTCTTTCCTCACCATACCTTCTTTGCACTCAAGCGCCACCCTGGACTCCAGGTTATCCATCTGCATCTGCAGGCGTTTGAGGGTCAAGTCACTCTCTCGGGACTTGCGCTTGTAGGCAATCAGCACGGCCACGATGAAGATGATGAGCAGACCACCTGCCACTGCAATGCTGACAATAGCTGGCAAGCTGAGAGGGCTGTCTGGAGAGATGTAGACCATCCCTGGGGAGAATTCCATCCCTCCTACACGAGCCTGGAGGGAAGGCAGGATAAAATTGCATTGAAACTGTCAAATATGCAGGAGCACAGAGGAAGTCATCCTAATGATCATCATCCTAATTAAGGCTGTTATGCAAGTCAAACTTGCATGATAAACACATGAATGATGACTTCTCAAGCTAAATAGAGTATGAAGTACTTGGATACAGAGTGGCTGAGCATCTGAAATCTCACTTGGACACAGCTCTGTTGGTAATGCCACCTAAAGCAGATTAACAGAGGATTTCTAATGAGAGAAGTCTTACCAGTACCAAAGCCCTGGCTATTTAAAATGCAGGGATCATTTGGGGGTTTCCTCCCCTGTCCTAAACAGCTATGCACTGTCTTGGTATCAGTCCCAGAATGCATACAAGATAGGTGATTCTTGGGTATGGTCTGATGGGCCCTAACTTTATTATGGGTTAGGGCACTGGGAATGCAGAAATTACAGGGTCATAATTCACTTTTCAGTCTTGGAGTTGAGAAAACTGTATCTGGAAAGCAAAAGCCACAGAGCCTGGCCCATGCTCTTTGCAGCCCCTCCCCTAGCTGTTGTGTCACATGAGCTAAAGAACTTTGCATGGTTACCAGTGGGACAGGAAGCCAGTCAGAGCTTTCTGCTCTCCATGCACTCCTGAAGGTTCTCAGGAATCTGGGACACGTGTCTTTGTGAGATCTTGCTTTTAATAGCGGGAAAGAAACCCTGCGGGTAGTACTGCTGTGTACCCAACAAAATATTATGCTGAAAAAAGTCTGTTGGGAGCCCATTTACACAACATGCACACCATTCCCAAAAGTAATCCCACAGGGTGCTACTTGTTCAAGGCTACTGCAAGAATGCTTGAGGCTATCTGTAAAACAGGGTAAGTTTGAGTGGCAGGCAGTGGGAAAAGTACTGCTGACTAGCCTGAGACATATAAGGAAAGTTTCTGATAGTGTGCTCTAGTATGGGAACACTCTGCTTATGGATCAGCATGAACCTAGGAAGATGCCACACGAGCAGTTTGAAGTATCATGATGTTGTGAGAGCCTCTTACCACCACAGGTCTTTCTGGGGGCATGAATCTCTGTATTCCCATCATCTTCTGGAAATTATTTATGGCCTCAGTTGCAGCCTCTGAGTTCTGTTTCACACTAGCACCAGCTGTAGCCTGTTCCTCAGTGTGTCTTGGTCAATGCCACCTAGCTCAAATCTTTTTATTTTGGTCAGACTAAAGGTGACAGTCTGGAATATACCATTTCCATCCACAAGGTCCTCTTATGCCCTCAATAGCTCTAAGTATTTGGAGTTGGGCTCTTAAAACATAGAATCATAGAATATCTTGATTTGGAAGGGGCCCATAAAGATCACAGGGTCCATAACAATGTCCAAAACGAGAAACTAAACCAAACATAAGCTCGTCTGACCAACTAATAGTGTAAGATGACAAGTTCTTTAGCATGAGATGGACACTTTGTAGAGCATCTTCACTGTGCAAAGAACAATCTAGCACCCATATAAGTCAAGGAAACAGAAGTTCCTGTTTTTCCTGTCTATTCTGAGATATAAGGTTAAATTCCACTTCATAAAGCTTGCAAAGGGTAGATGTTTGGTACTGGTATGTGGCAAGTCCAGCTAAGACAAACTTCCAAACTCGAACATTAATCTTCTCACTGGAAGCTGTTGCCTTTTGACATAGACCACTGTCTCAAATCCTCCCAAGATGACAGCAAAATTGGCTCACTAGTTTGCACAATTTCCTTCCTGTCATGGTGGATCAATAAATGGAGTCATTATCATCATTTTCTGTTTCCTACAGTGGCCTTTTTCATCCAGACCTGGCAGTGAAAGGAGCCCTTTGATCGAATATCAGTCCAGAGTCAAACAATCCCAGCCCAAACCTCAGTGCAAGACTATCCTCAAAACCCACAGAACAGCCTGGCTCCATGAGTGAGATTCCTCTCACTTTTAACATGCACACCTGAGTTAGACTCCTACAGGTAGGTGCCTAGCAAAGTTCCTCTCCAAAGTTGTTTTCAACACTGAAAAATCCTCACAGTCTGCCATGATCTGAGGGAATGTGTCTCTTGGAGAAGAAAGCCTGCAAGGCTGTACTACTATTTGTTAGCACTAAAATGAAACAGAAAAATATACTGAAATAACCCTACTTTATTTCTTAGGTCCTGCATTTTTTCCAAGAAATCAACTTCCAGGTAACCAAACTGTCTACCACTAAACAACAGCTTGGTCACTTGTTTGGCCTGTTATGCTGGCACTTCTCCAAATGGCACTATGGTAGGTACAAGTTTTTTCCAGCAAAGACATAGGGACCACCAGCAGTGGTTCAAGAGAGAGTTTCTTCAACTCCTGTTGTACAAAACTTGACTATAATAGTGTATTTCCTAGTGCAAGCTTGCATTAACAAAATGTGTCTGGCTTTGAGTGACGTGAACTGTGCTCTGAATATAAGAGTACACTTGACCATCTCTCCATTTACTATAGGAAGACATCGATGTAACTTTCTATCTGTAAATGCATACAGTGAATATGAGCAGTCCTCATGTCCTCCATCTCTACATCGCAGGCCTTCTCTACCATGGTTACACCTCCTTGTCAATGTTTCTTTCACTTGAAAAAGAGCTTCTCCCTAGGCTTTAAGCTATCTTTATCAACCACTGCTCCGCCCTTTTTGTGTGCCCGTGTTGGTTTTTTCTTTAATTAATATATATTTTTTCAAGCATGTAACTCGGTGATTGCATAAAAGAAAGTTAAAGTAGAGCAAAAATATGCTGACACCTACATGTGTCACTGTCACTCTTCCTTCCCTTTGAAATAATCACAGTGTTCAGAGCCGTGGTCTCCTCTCAGATCTAGGCCACTTCACTTTGCAGGAAAGACTTTGCTCAGCAGTTAGCTCAAGGTCACACAGGAAATCATCATCACAAGCAGGGGAAGGACCTGAGAGAACTACCTGTCAATTATCCCAACCATCAGAGTGACATCCATGTGAAACATGGGCAACAGAGCTGCTGTGCCATGTTGGAGGAGGCATTTCCAAGCCCAGCTGTCCCCCTGTTAAGTTACAGATGCAAAGTCCATCCTTGGGCACTGGCCTCCATCACAGCTGAGCTTCTGTGTTTGGTTCCCAGCCCAGATCCTGTCAAAGGCTTGCCTTATTGCTGGCTTTAGACAAGGAAATCTGCCATTGCCCCTAACAGAGACGCTCATCAATAGGCTTCAATGCAATCACCTTCTCATTTTTTCCAACAGTATCTCTTGTTTGATCAGTGTCCTCAAAAAGGGATTATTTCTCTGAGGTTTCTCTTAAGCTGTCCCAAGCTGTGGGAACAGAGGAGTCTTCTCAATTAGCAAGGCGTGGCCAGATGCTCATCCTCCCTGATCCCCACGAGTTGATAATTGCTCACCTGACTTTGAGTTTTATCTCTCTAGGATCTTTTTTGTCCCTCTCTGACTAAACATATGTTTAATGAAATTCATGAAAATTACAGGCAACATATATTGTTCTGTTCCAAAGCTTTCATATTTACACAGGGAAAATCTCATGTTTGTTATTTTTCTTCTTGGACTGTATTAAAATGCTTTACAATGAACTGAGAGCCACAGCATATGTGCATGACTGAAAGGGATTATCACCTCTATTTTCCATATGACAAAATTCAGAACAGAAAAGTAAAGCAGCCAATATGAGGGATCCAAGCAGCAGTCACAAATGGGACTCAACACAGTCACCATAAACTCTCAATTCTCTACAAGACAATCCCTCTTGTTTTAAAGAGGAAGGCATTGTCTCTCCATGAAACTTGCAAATCTCCTTACACTGAATTAAGTAAGTATATATCAGATTTGGGAGGGCAACAGAGAGCTGGAAAAAAGTTGATCGCGGGCAACGAGAAGCACTGATCATCTGTATGTCTGCCGTCAGCTATGTCTTGCTTCCACCCACAGCTCTGCACAACTCAGATTGAGTTTGCTGATGTGCTGTTTATCAAGCAAGAGCACTGAGGCATGCAAATTACTGAGAGGAAAGTAAAGGAGTGAATAAATCAGTGGAGAGAGAAGGAAGCTCCTTCTGATGTAATCACTAGGTTCTTTTTTCACAGGTTCCAGGAAGGATATGCAAGATCATACTAAGTTGTATAGATGTCAAAATCTCAAAGTCACACCACAGTCCACATCCTGCACAAATTTTAGCCACCAGTATGTTGCTAAATTGCTTGAAACTGATACATTTAACACAGTTTGTCATGTGGGGAATAAGTTACACATAAGAATTCACATGAGCATCTGGGGTTCACACCGGCTGCATAAAGAAAGAGGAAAATCATCCTAAAGTTTTATGATTCCAAAAGGTCCCCCACTGTCTGCAAAAATCTCCAAGTTACTCTTCCAGGATTGACTGACAGGGGTATTGTATTGAGAAGGGGCTCTGATATTTCTAGGTTCTACAGAAGGCAAATGGTGAAGGAAACACATTGCTGTACCCTTCTACCAAATCCATGGAAGAAAGGCTGAGTTTCAAGCATCACTTACCATCACCTTGTGCCTCCCAATGAGGTTTGGGGACTCACACAATAGTTGCACATCTGATACAGTCACCACACAGGGCTTCTCACCAACCAGAACCGTGTAGTTCAGCTTGGCATTCCCTCCTGCCACTGGTGGGATCAGGTTCTTGCCCTGGGTAGAAAGGAGTATCGTGACTCAAAAAAATGTATTACAAAGGAGTTTTCCTTCCATCTCTGCTTCTATTACTCCAGTGTTAACATTGCACTTGGCATTCATAGTTCACAACTCACTTACTTAGTAAGTAAAAGCTGCTCAAAAATCCTACAGAAGGCAGCATGAATACAGACTATTAACAGTCAAAGCTGCCTGTCCTGTTTCTTTCCCTCCAACTCCACACAAATCTTTCACAAGCAGAAAATGATCAGGCAATACTGAAACATATTTCCAAATGCGCAAGCAGGTATTCTGCATGCATGCTCATTTATTTGCATATGAATCTCATACAACTGCTGATATGGAAATGTTCAAGCATATAATTTGTTCTTTGTGTTGCTATTCAGGTTAAAGACGTGATGGAGGACTGATGTGGGATTTTCCCAAGGGTGAAAGAAAAGTGTCTAAAAGACAAGAAATAGGCTGGGGTACAGCAAACAGCATTGGATGCAAATTTAGGCAGCACACAAGCGGCTGAAGCAGTTTACATTTTTTAGTTATGGGTACTGGGAGATGCAGAGCAGTGAGTGGTGTGATGTTCGCAAATGGTGATTGATGTGATGCAATATGACAGGTTTAATGAGTGGAGGAAATCTCTGGGACAATGTTGGGATGCCACTACAATTAGCGGGTTGTTGGCAGCCACAAAATGGCAATAAGCAGCATGTGTCTGACCATCCTTATCCAGTTCTTGGTCCTCATCTCACCTTCAGTATGATTGGACTTCCTGGCTTCAACTCCAAGATCCCTGAGGGATTGAAAACCTCAAAGATAGGGTTTGGATAGTAGGTGAAATTGGTTTTGTTGAGGATCAGCAAGGATTGCACATTGTCGAGAATGAAGCCAAACTCCTCTGGACGCTCAGCTAGCTCAGATTGGTGATTGGGGTCAACAGCCAGCGCAGGAGCCTGGCAGGTCATCTCTGTGCTGTTCTGCACCTCACAGTTCTGGAGAGAGAAACCCAACACAAGAAGAGTTTATGGAAAATGTCTCCAGCTGTACTGGTAGGCTGGTATTTTTTGATAAAATGCTAGCTCATCTACTCACAGAGGACACTGAGGAGCAGAAAAATTTTGCTACCAAGAGACAAGCTGGTGATCCACTGCATCAAAACATTACCCATTCCTACCAGGAATTTGAGACCAGGTACGACAGCTTGGACTGCAGCAGAAATTCTCTATGCAGAGAGTGGTGAGGCACTGAAACAGGTTGTTCAGAGAAGATGTGGATGCTCCATCCCTGGAGGTGTTAGGAGCCCAAGGTCAACTTGAACAGGGCCCTGATCAAGCAGGTGGCAAACCATGGCATGGGGTCTTTAACATCCCTTCCAACATAAGCCATTCCATGACTCTATTAATTGGCCATCTCGTGCCTTTCTTAAAAGAAATCATACCCTCTTCTCTGAATGCAGAAGGAGGTTTCAATCTCCACAGCTGTTAGGCAGCCTCTATCACCACCCAGGATATGTCTTCTCCTGCAGTTGCCAATACTCACATTGACATGTTCCTTTCCACCATGCTTTGCCCGGATCTGAGGGTTCTGGATCAGGTCTAGGTGAGTTCCCCACACTGCAATGGGTGTGTTGCCACTAGAGAAAAAAGAAACAAAAGAAGAGCATACAACCAGTTAATACATACCTGACTGAATGGACCAGTAGTGGGTGACCTGTATTCCTAAATGTTGTTTGCAAAGTGTCTGACCACATCTTATGGTACCAAAGGAAGGCAAACAAAACAAACAAGGCTTTTTAATTCATTCATTTGGGGAAAAATATGTAAAACTGCATGCTTCCAGAAATTGTTCCATCAAGCAGCATCTGGGTGATCTTTTCTGTTAGGACTAAATAGCTACAAACTTTGGTGGTGAGAAGAGCAGAAAATCTAAAAGAAGCTTTTCAGAATGGTCCACAGATTATTCTATAATGTGTAAGGTTGTGATTTTAAGAAGCCCTCAAAACATCTGTCCTGTGTAAGCAACTCTCGAGGATCCAGTGCTATCTTATTTGCATTCTGCATTTGTCTTGAATATTAAACGTGTTATAGAAAGCATCATTCTGAATAAGGCAATGTCACCTCAGTGAACCACCTAATTCATTTCTGCCAGGGAGCCCTGATCTATAACACTGAGAAGAAACAAAGCCGATGTGTTCAGACTTGGCTTCCATTGGGTGACCTAAGCAGATACGGTCTGCAAATGGTGTAGAATCAGCACTCTACACCATGGTGTAGAATAGAGATTTGTAGTCATTGTGTCCTTTTGCTCAGCCAAGGTTTCATGTCCTGAGAGAACTCATTCATACAAGCCACAACCCTGCCTTTGGTAGATTTTACTGCTTTTGTAACATCTCTCAGGCCAGCTTAAGAAGAAAAGACATAAACGGAGACCTTCTCATTCCATGTAATCAATGTCACCAGAAGGAAAGAGCTCTCTGAAACACTCTTCTTTCCATTCCCTTGCCTCTTCCATCTGCAGTCAACACCACTTTTGTGGGACTTTCAGGAGAGGGAGGAAGGAAACTGCAAAGGAACGGATTTGGGTTGTCTTTGAGCTCTGCATTGAGGGGAAGAGTTCACCATAAGGTTTGGCAAACTCAAACCAAGCACTGCTCAGCCAGATAGGCTCTCCCTTTTCATCACCTGAGTGCCTGTAGAAGAGGCAATAGGGTGCAAGGGCAGAAGGGGGAAGAGCTAGCTGAGAAAGTGAAAACTTCAGCTGTCAGGACTCCAGCATCCAAGACAGAATGAGGAAATGTCATCAATGGACAGCCCAGCCTCTGCTGCAGAGCTGAAGATTTCCCAGGGAGGAGGAGCACTCTCATCAGTTTTGACACCTGCCTCTGCAACCCTCCTTGGAAACTTTCCAGGCTTCAATTTATTTCCTGGAGCTCTTTTTTTACTGAGAATGGGAAAGAAAGACATGCAGAAATCCATTGTATTTATATGAGAAGGGGAAAAGAAAGCCTAGAATCCCTTTCCAGCTTCTAGGTAAACCTCTGCACGATGAAAGGTGAAAAAAGTGCATTATAAATGTGACTGGAGAAAACAACAGAGGATAGATAAACTGCAAGGAAGATGCCTGAGCTGGCCCACAGATCTCCCCTAGTTCTAATCTTTGTTTTCCAAGTTCCTCTATTGTGTATTCCATTATTAATCACATAGGGCATTTAGAAATGAATGCCAACATGCACCTCTGCTCAGCAGTGCAGCTATCAGGTTTCAGAGATCTGGATGCAGCTAGCTGGGACTGAATCATAGAACCATAGAATCATTAAGGTTGGAGAAACCACTAAGATCACCTAATGCAACCATTGACCCATCACCACCATACCACTAAACCATGTCCCTCAGTGCCACATCTACCCTATTCTTGAACACCTCCAGCGACAGCAATTCCACCACCACCCTGGGCAGCCTGTTCCAGCCTGTACTTCAGCCCCTCTAGCTAATTCCACACTGATAACCAACAGGGCCAGGACATCAGTCATACACTGGCTGGTGGCCATTAATGCTTTTATAAGCTGTACACTGGCTTGGTTTAAATTGTCTTAACACTCTCCTAGGCAATGTCTGGTCATGGTTTGTGGTATAGCAAGGACCAGAGAATACTTCCAATAAACAGAATGGATGAAGCTATTCTGCCTTTCAAGGAAGAAAGATTATTTGATGTAAGGATGCTCTCTACTTGCTGGCTTCTGGACCAAAAACAGACCTGAATTAAGTATTTACTAGTTTAAATATAACTTTGCACAAGAAGCCTGTAAATCTAGACTCATCTTAAGAATAGGCGCAGGAAGGATAGCACAAGGAAGGCTACCCCAGTGCCATAAAAAATGTTTTTGCCAACTTTCCAAGACATGGAGACACTTATGTGACCATTCTTTTGACCACAAAGTCCAAGTCTTTAGCAATAGGTGATGGTGAAGTCATGAGCTCTACCAACGAGTGCTGTCACGGCAGCATCTTTCTGTAGGTGCTTCTGTGACACTTCTCTGAGAGGTTCCTTGTAGTCTTTCAAGCAATGCCTGTATGAACCACATCTGGCTTGTGAGCTTTGCAGAGTTCTCACTATCCATCAGTAATGAGAAATTTTCCATGGGGAAGTGTATATTTTACCATTTCTGTAAGGTCTGTTCAAATGGCTGAGCTCTCTTGATCACACAGAGGATCTCTTCTGAAGTCACACATTCATTTACAAGAGAACTTTCCCATCCTTTCCTTGTAGAAAAAATACCTTCTCCCCAAAATTCATTTTCAACTTAGATATCCTTGACATCATCCACAGAGACCTTGCTTTTCAGTAACCAGAAGATAAATTCACAAAACAAGTTTTTCTTTATCCATTATCTCATTTCATGTGGATTTTTGGCTGTGGGCTTTTATTATTTTTATCATCATGTATTATTGTTATGAATCTCTGCTGACTCAAACTAGAAGGGATTTCACATATTTGCTCAACAATTTAATGTGTTCCAGACATATCAAATTCATGTGCATATATAAATATATACATAATGAGTGTGTGTATGTATAAATAAAGCCTTTTATTTAATCAACCACATCTGTGCATACAGTTTTAAACCCATGTGTTAAAAATTCTCTATTTGTTTTGGAAATTGAGTTTAGAAGGCTCAGACCACAGTCTGTAAGCACAGTAAGAGTGGTGGGTCAGAGGGGTCTATCCACTGCAAAAGTAAAGCCAAAATAGTCATAGAATCCTTATTACAGCATCATAAAATGGCCTGGGTTGAAAAGGACCACAATGATCATCTAGTTTCAAGCCCCTGCTATGTGCAGGGTTGCCAACCAGCAGACCAGGCTGCCCAGAGCCACATCCAGCCTGGCCTTCAATGCCTGCAGGGATGGGGCATCCACAACCTCCTTGGGCAACCTGTTCCAGTGTGTCACCACCGTCTGAGTGGAAAACTTCCTCCTAATATCTGATGTAAACCTCCCCTGTCTCAGTTTAAAACCATTCCCCCTTGTCTTATCACTACCCACCCTCACAGTCATATCCACTGAAGACACAAACCCACCTAAAGGTTCAGTCTAGCTTGCAAATCAAGCAAATTCAACTGTTGTTTTTTTGTGAGAACTGCTGTCCGTTGTCTTCAGCTACAGACACTTCTTGCCCAGATCAGATCAGAATAGTGACAGATACTGCTCTCCAACAAAAAGTTAGAGGTGTCAACACCAGGAGATTTCTTAATTTAACTCTTCTTTGGCCCCAAAGCTTTTTATTCTGCAGATCTGTATATTTTCTGGACATAATTCAAATCCCAATTAAAAGTATTAATAGAGGCTTACAACATTCTAGTTACCTGCCTGTTCAGATTGAGTCTTTTTTTATCATTATTTTTTGACTACAGTAATAAATCATCCATAATCTTTTCTTTGTTGTCTTGGAAAATGGCACTTGAGAAGGCTTTAAGCCAGTCTGGGTACCTTCATTTGCTAATTTTGCAATGTTAGTTTAGCAGCAATCATCTGTCCCTCAAAACGGTTTAGTCCCTCAACTAGGAGTCATGAATCAAAGCACAGTGCATTTGCTGCAATGAATCATACTGCATAACAGATATAGCAAGGAAGAGCCTACTCAGTCTATCCCCAGATCCATATGTTTCAACTAAATTATTTCTTGTTTGACTCTCTGTACTTGATTTGGCACTGTGTTCAACCAGCTCTCTGAGCCTGCTTTACCCTAATTGCCTCCATTACAACCTGCAGGGCAGAGCTGCACAGATTAACAGTGATAGTCCATAAAAGATCCCAGACACTCTGAAACCACAGATGTAATTTCAGACACTGTGTTGTCCTCCGAGGTTACAACCTTTTGGAGTGATTCAAAAGTGTAAAAGAAAGGGCACGAAGGCAGACGTGGGGTGAGTAGATCTGGTTAAAATTTGTCACTACCAATCAAGTGGATGCTTTCTGATTTTAGAGATATCAAAGGAAATAAAAATTAGAGGCTGTACCTTACTGATGAGACAGATAGACCCTCAGTCATCCAACCTATCAGCTACACATCCTGAAAGTAAGGTAGCACCCATGAAATAAACACACATTGATTTGCTTTATGCTGAGAGAGAGGACAGGAGATTCATTTGGGAAAGCGATGGGATAGAGTCTCTGCACCCCATAGCCAAGCAAAAACTTTGCCAGTATACCTCAAGCCTCTCCTTGGCTACATTTTGTCTCTTGCTGGGAGCTTCAGAAGAGAAACCAAGGAGCAAAAGGCTCTGGAGATCTTCTTTCATCCCCCAGCCTGAAGCCAGATGAAGGAAGGGCCCTATTCTGTAACTTTCCTGGGGATAACAGAGGAATTCACTCTCCTTGGCTGTCAATCTTGCACCCTTTAACCAGTCCTAAACTCACTTTAATAAGGAAAGGACTAAAGTGATTTCTCATTTTACTGATAACCTGAACTCTGACTGAAAATAAAACCTCAAAATGGAAAATCCAGATGCAAAAGCTTCAAGCTCGATGTGTAAAGATTCAATCCAGCTAAATCGGTAAATTCCCTCACGGTAATTAAAGGCACTAATTGATTTGTGAAAACATCTTCTGGAAGGAAGCTGAACTGAAGGGATTTATGAGTCCTGCTCCTAATCCCCAGATACTCCAATCAATCCTGCTTGACAGGAGAGCAGAGAGCTGCAGTGGATGAATGAAGGAATACTGAGATTTCTTATTTTGTATCTTTTCGAGGAAATACCAGCGCATCTAATAACCAATTTCTCTTTTCCTGAGACCATTTCTGCAAGATTCTGAGTGCATTTGGGTCTCGTTCTCTTGCTTCCACAACTAAGACAAATGCTCCTCTCAGGCACTTTCAGATGAACCTTCCAAATTCACCAAAGCAGCAGCAATGGGCTGAAGAGCAAAAGAGTACCTAACAAGGAGGAAGGCCCTCCAGTAGGGTAGGGACTAGGGCTTTCTTTGTGTTTTTTCTCAGAAGATGGCTCTGGAGCTTTCAAGCATGACAGCCAAACAAGGAATAGGGAGGGAAGATTTAGGTTGGATATCAGGGGAAAGTTCTTTACAGAGAGAGTGTTGACATGCTGGAACAGGCTGCCCAAAGAGGCTGTGGATGCCCCATCCCTGGAGGTGTTCAAGGCCAGGTTGGATTGGGCCCTGAGCAGCCTGGTCTGGTATTAAATGCGGAGGTTGGTGGCCCTGCATGTGGCGTATAGGTTGGATCTTGATGATCCTTGATACTTGGATCTTTCCACTCCAAGCCATTCTATGATTCTATGATTCTGTGAATACTTAGTCCTAAACCAACAAACATATGAAGGTTGTAAATAAAGTGCTTTAAAACCTGAGTACTATCCTCTTTTCTAAGCACAGTCATGACCAACGGACCATGAAAAGGTGTAGACTTAGCTCAGTGGAACCCAAAATACAGCTATGACCAGAAAAGGTAAGAATCAAAATCTTTAGGAATACAACAGAACCAATAAAATGTAATATCACTTGGATAGGTAGCATTTGGGTACAGGAGACACTGAGACAAGCTTCTGGTGAGCAACTGCAGCTGGATTTTGCTGCATTAAGCGAGGAAGCTGTGCTCTACTTACGAAGGTTCATTCAGCCTTGGGCTACACTGAGTCAGTTTGGAGAACAGTGTGGCTCCTGCCTATCCCTCACTAGGTTCTTTGGAAACGTTGCCCTAGGGGTATACATGGCTACAGGTACACTCTGAGCATCCAACGTGCTGTAGAGGCTACACAGAACATTCCTGACATTTAATGTCTCCCCAGGAGGCAAGTCCACCAGCTCTTATGGTTCTTGGGCTCTGTGAATGAGTTAGATAAATATGTGTTTTCTAGTGAACATGATGCTTGGAAAGCACTTTCAAGTATCGGGGACCAACACAAATGTACCAGTGCTGCAACAAAAGATTAAAGGAACTGGTGTGATGTGCCCATGGGATGATTACCTGAAGATGCTCCACTCAGGCTCAATCCTCAGGATGGTTGGATCCTCCACATATTCATACTGCAGCTCCTGATGTATTTTGGCCTTGTCCACTCTCACAGACACCTTTACTTTCTCAAAGCCTTCATCTGAGGCTGTGGTGTTACAGACAATGTGCTTGGTGGATCTCCTGTGAGAAGAAGCAAGTAAATATAAACGAGGATCTGCAAGAAGCAAACCAGTAAGAACCCAGTTACATACTCCTATGTTCTGTGATCTTAACCTATTAACTATGAAGTGGTGGAACTCGCTGCTGCAGGAATATACTGAGTATTGTGTGACAAATTCATCACGGGAAGTGGCATTGCCTTTCCACCAGTTTAAGTAAAACTACACAAGCCACTATTACTCAGATCTCAAAACACAAACCTCAAGGGAAGTCCAAAACAGACCTCGCTGCAGAAATACTTCTGTGTGATTAAACACATGATGGATGTTTCCTTCCTGCCTGCAGGCATGTTCAGCAGCAGCTCGTAAAAGGGAGTGTTTGCACCTCAGCTTTCCAGTCCGGGATAATAAAGTTTACTTTGCATTAAGGACTGTAAGCCTTGCTTAAATGCCATTTGCAACATGCCTAGGACCTTTGCATGGGAAGTGCTAATGTAGTGGGAAGCATTTCATGATTTTACTTAAAATGGATTCTGGGTAAATGTTTCCTTTTGGGCAAGGCTCAAATACAACTCCAGGACTGAATATTGCAGTGGCATTGCATTGCCTTCAGTAAAGAGCCAAAAATCCAAGCTTCTACCACCTTCAGCCTTCCCAGCCCTGTGATTTGTGGCACGGCCTCATCTCATATCCCTAGAAAGATAAAATGGAGTTCATTCTTCCCTCGTAGCATGGCATGTACCTCAAACGTACCCTTCAAGTGCTCTTTAAATTTCCCTGAAAACCATGCGGAATCCCTTCTAAAACTCCCTAGTCTGTTCTGTAAGCAACCCCAAGCAGTGTGGTTCCCATTTGGCCTTTTAAATTACAAGCTGTGACTTCACCCTCGTGCATTATAGATGTTAAATCACGCCTCAGTCATGACAGGCAGCTAAGCAGGATCCCAACAGCCAGGAGATGGAAACATCCTGCCCCAGGACAGTAGTCCCAGCTTCCCATTGAATGGGCCCTTCTTCTGGCAAAGACAAGCTGGGAGAAATGTGCCAACTTTGTCTTCAGCTTCCACCAATACTGGCAGCAAAATGCATTGCACTTAGCAGTTTTGAGCTGCAGGAGCCCCTGGGAACTGGATTTAGGCTCATTCTCACAGGGATCAGGGAACATTCAGCAGGTAACACTGACATTAAGCCTCTGAACTGCAATTGAATAGGAGCCAACCCTGAGCTAAAATGCTACAAGTCATCTGTTTCTCAGCACTATGGGACTATTCTTGGATAAAAGGGAGGTGTTTTAATGCTTATAACTGATGTTGTCAGATTTTCGTTTTTGCTTTCTCTAAAGTAGGGACGTCAAAATGAATCTTTTAAATTACATACTCTCAGAACAAGTAGCAAAGCATGGGACCGTGGAGAATTGTAGTGAAATTTGACAAGGAGCCATGGAAAAAGCACATCAAATAGCAATCAAAACAATGAAATAAGTCCTATTCTCCCACCCCACAATGTACTCAGTAAGGTTGTGCTGGGGAAGAATGCAAAGGTCCCACTGCAGAACAGATGTTCTGCCAAGAATTACTAGAAGGACAGGTTGTCTGGGCTGCAGAAGTCTCTTGACCATGATTGCTTTCATCTTTCTGGTATGTATGGAAGGAAGAACTCATCTGTACCTGTAGAAGAGGCAAGGTTGTCGCCCAAAGGTCACGATGACGTTGCTGCCTGCGTTGAGGTTATTACCCGTAATTGTCACCTGAGTGCCACCCGATACAGGTCCCCGCTTCGGCTTGAGATCAGAGAGTGTCAGAGTCTGTGAAAGCAAAGAGTCATGTTGAGAGCACAAGAGATGAGCAGAGGTACCTACAGTGCTAGGGAAATGTAGGCAACCCCAAAAGTTTATCTACGTTAGGTGGACTTCAGAAGACACCAATATTTTCCTGGTAGAAGAGGAGACTGGAGTGTCTCCTTAACAGAATCATTAAAGTTGAAAAAATAGAATGATTAAAGTTGAAAAAGAACTCTAAGGTAATCTGTTTAAACCATCAACTCATCCCCACCATGTCCACTAGACATGTGCCTCAGTGCCAAATCCATACTTCTCTTGAACACCTTCAGGGATGGTGACTTCACCACTGCTTGAATGACAGCTTTGGTAAGATGAACTCAAGACCTAAGGCTAATTTCAAAATCCCTGCAGAATAAGGCCTGCCCTTGTACCCATTCAGAAATGCTCTCAGCTTCCTCATCTCCACGTCTGGGGCAACTGCAGCCATGACCTCTCTTATCTCCACTATTTGATACGACTCAGGAACTTTTTTTCCAACAACATTTCTGCAGGATAAACTGGGTCTTGAATTGTCTTACTGGATCTCAACAAGGACTCTTTGCCCCCAGAGAAAACTCAGGGAGCTCACAAGCATTGAAAACTATTGTGTCTTGAAAAGATTACTCTGAAGTTCATTGATCTACCAAAGAAAGAGGTCCTGCTGTGCAGCTCAGGAGGACACTTAAAACCTCCCCTTGTGCTCACAGCTCTTTTCCGTGGGAAGGAGGAGAGCTGTGACTCTGAGAGAATCTGAACATGTGTTTTGACTCTTGCAGGCCCACCACATGAACCCAAACATTTCTCTTTTATCAGATGTTGATGCTGAAACAATCTCACATGGCATGCATGTCCTGCACTGATACAATGCAGCATCACTCATGTTAAGGTGTTCTCTGAAATAATTCAGCCACGAGAAAGAATGCTGTACAGATGAATATTTTTTTCTGAGTTTCCTGCTTGTTTGAGCCTCTTTTCCAACCATAACACAACATTACACACTTATTATATTAATATAATATTAATGTTAATATATTAAAAGAGGGGCACCATTCCTTAAGAAGCCTCAAATCTGAAACCTTTTTCTTGCCCTCCAACTCCATTCTTCCCAAAAGCAAGATAAAATACTTGCACTCTGAAAGCACAGATCACCCTATTGCCATAATGCAGAGAGGAGACATCCATTTTCAGGGAGAAACTTGGAGTTACAGTTTATTCTTTCATTTGCATTTTAATAGAAAAACTTTCCACTCAGTCCCAAGTGAAAAGCCACTATATGCATTTAAATGAAGATTTTTTTTTTCCCCTCTCTTTAAGAATGATGACACAAATGCTTGAAGCTCTCCTCAGCTCCTCTGAATGAGCAGGTACAACATACAGTCACCTTATTGAGCTTTGGAGACCATTAATCCCTGTTTATAAAATGCCTGACACACACCATAGCTCCCTCTTTCACACACACACAGCTCTCCCTGTGCCCTTCTGGTTAACCATTTTGAAAAACAGCAGCATGGTTTCTTCTTTGCTTTTGTTCAAAATGAAGCTGCTGCCTGGAGGAAGAGCTGAATGTGAAAATCAGACTTACAGCCCAGTAGAAAATGTATCAATAGAGATGGCCACCTCTTGCATTTACACCTGTCTGTTTCTGATATGGTGTTTTGGAAACTATTTTGCCTCAAGAAGTCCCTTATCTATCAATTGCTGAAGGTTGGGAAGATGTATAAGAAGAGAAGAAGAACAAATAAATGCTCTGTTCCTTTTACATTACTGTGACTATTCTCTAATAGCTTTTATTGGGATATAAGATGCAGGAAGGGTCTTCAGTATAAAGGGCTTCTCTATTTTGAGGGTACTGCCTCATGCTGTGATGGCAACGCCTCTTCAATTCCTTATTGATGGTCATAGAACCAACGCCAAGTACTGCCGCCCATGAAATGGATGTTGGGAGACTACTTCCCACCTGTGAGAAAATGTGTTGAAAGTTGCCCATTTGGTGCAATACTGGATGCTTTACAAACCAGATAATGACATTTGAGTTAAAGATCTGAACCCCTTCTCCCAGTCCTTGATGGACAGGCCTTTCTGCCCCTCTCCCCAGAGGATAATAAATGTTTATGCCCCATTGAGGGTTCTTGCATAGTGAAATTATACCAGCAATGCTTCTTGGCAAAGTGTTGATGCATTTCGTGCCGATCTCACAAAAGGTTTTATGGCTAATCTTTCCAAATTGCAATAATCCATTAATTATTCACCGTGGCCTTCATAAATACTGCACAGCACGTCTGCAGTAAAAATCAGCCTCCAGACTGTTTACCATTTCCGTTCTGGTGAAAGTTGATGGAAAATGCATGGAGGTCTATTGGATCTGTGATAGGCTGAGGTGGAAAGTGACAGCGAAGGAAGGAGGAGGCCAGAAAATCATGGAATAATAGAATGGTTTGAGTTGGAAGGGACCCTTAGAGGTCAGCAAGTCCAACTCCCAGTCATCTGTATTTATCTGGAGTCTTGACTACTTTCCTCTGCTGTGGAACCTTTTACTTTCTTCTAGCACCTCCTTGGCATAAACTATACACAGAGAAGTTGCCACGAGAGCTGTGTCTGAACTGACTTCATGGTGTATGTTGAGACCTTGGCTCCCACATCACTGATCGTGGAATAAGGGCATAGAAACATGTGACCCACACAGTTCATGCACCCAGCTATCCTTTCTATTGGTTCAATAGCAACAGCTGGAAAGGCAGTACACAGCCCTCTCTGAGCCTGTTCAAAATGCTCTCCTGAAACAGAGCCAGAAGAGACACAGACAGAGCAACCCAAATCACACTGAGCCAAAATAAAGGCAAACTGTGTCTGAATTGAAAAGAACGATGGTAATATTTCATGGATTGAAAGACAATGGAATTAATCACAGCAATAAAATGAATTAAAAAAAATTCATTTAGCTCATCATAAATACCACTTCAGCATGCAACCAAATGCTTTGTTTCCCTTTTGGCTTATTGAACTCTCTAACACAATTTGCATTTTTGATCACAGACCAGTTTGAAAAACAAATTAACAGCATTTTGTTACTTGTAAGCATTAAAAGTTCTGCTTACAAGTGTTGAGAAAAGCTGCTCTATCGTCTCTAAATTAAGCTGCCTCTTTTTCAAAACACTGAAATAAAATATTCTGCTGGGTACAAATAATCAGCTGTTCCATTTCTCACAGGAGAGAGGGAGGCGGAACCTATTGGCCAAATTTGACCTTGTTTTGCTTCAAACCTTTTGCAAAAGCAATTTTCCAAAGGATTTGCTGTGTGTCTGGTAGCAGCACTTAACTCCCAGGTGATGCCCATCATTGGTTTTTAAACATCTTCCTTTCTTGAAAGCTGCCACCCACCACTGCAGGACGCCAAGGCATGTTGCGATGTGTGTAATAACATCTCTACCCTCTTGGCAGAAATATCAGAGGAAGCCAAGCCATGCTAATGAACACCTCCCACTATGAAAGCAATGGACACGGGAGAGGGCATATGATGGGCAGGCTGGGGAGCATCGTTGTTTTTTTCTGTCTAGCACAAAGGTATCAAGGTATGCAGCTGAGAAAACCCTGCAGACTTCACGCTTGTGCACGGCTGGGATAGTTGGCAGCCAGAAAGCCAGCAAGTGGAGGGAAAAGCTGTCACAGATGGACACGGATGATCAACATCAGACAGTAATTTCAAGAGCAGCAAAGGTGACATGCTGAAGTGTAATGTCCTGGAAAGAGCCCTTCTGTCAGCGAGGTGGGGGCCACTTCTTGAAGTATTTCTATGCCCCCCACATCACAGTAACACCTGAGTGACACTGGAAAATACAGAGATCACTGCAGTTCAAGGGGGAAATCTAAGATATTTGAATTCATTACCAGTTCTCTTTGCCATGAACAAATGCTCAGGCATGTGAATTATTTCAGAAAAGACTCATTCCCTTGCAGGGGTTGAGAGCTTTTGATGGGAACAAAGAGATCCTCTCATCTCAGACCTGCACAGACCTGAACTGATCAAGGCTAGGCAATGCTTGCATGTCCCCAGCAAGGAGCCTTACAGAAATAAGGAGGTCTCTTGGACACGAAAAGCGAGCAGAAAAGGGGAGGAAGGAGCAAAAATCCAAGTTGAATGTGCAGCATACACTGGGCTCTGCTTCTCTCTTCCATGAGGTTTTCACTATGGCAAAGCTACAGTCTCAGGCTGAACTTCCTCCACTATGGTGGTGCAAAAAAAGAGCCCAGAGCCCTTCCAACTGCTTTGCATACTGATGTCCACAACAGACAGTGTATCACACCCATCTGTGAGTCCAAGCAATATCTCCAAAAAGATATGTCTGCTTTCTGAGTGCCGTCTATGCACACAGCTGATGCCAGACAACCTACTACTATTTTTCCTTTTTCTTTTCCTTTTCCTTTTCCTTTTCCTTTTCCTTTTCCTTTTCCTTTT